CTCATGGGTTTATAAACTGTGCTGTAGTTCTCATCCTTAACTTGTGCCACTTTCCCCCCCTCCCAAGGACTGTGCCCATACCTTTGTGCTCACTTGCCTGGTTATTGTTCCCGTGTACTTCAGCTCCACGAAGTTCCATTCCATTAAGCTGTTGATTTATTTTTGTACTGGCTGCCATCAGGATTTTAACTGGGAGGCTGAAATGACCTGTTCTTTGGGGGAGGGAGGAGGAACTGAAATGTAATAGATCAAGGAGCTCGTTGACGCACCTTTTGTTCAGCTTCTGTTTTCGTGCTCTGTTAATGTGCATTAAAGCATTGAAAAGTTGTTTGGCAGCAAAGGAACTGCGTGCCAAATGGGGAAAAAATCCTAAATAAGGAATGAATTTATAAAACTGGAAGCATATTTTTTCTTTCTCAGGCAGTTGGAGGTGTAGAATGAACTGTTTTATGTTCTTTCACTTCTGCAGTCAATAGCTTGTGTCAAGCAATCGAAATATGAAACGCTTTCAGGATAAAAGAATGTAAATTGGATGTATAGGTAATATTGTGATTCAATGGGGTATATACATATTACTTTTTTCATACAGAACCTGTGCTTTTTTTGGGAAGCAAGTAGCCATAAAACACAACTATCAGTGAAGGTGGGACTGTCAGATCTTTGTAAAACGAGGAGGAAAAAAGTTGGTAAAGCCATGAGACCAAACCACAGCAAGCCGCCTTATAGTGAGGTACAATCACCTTGGTTCCTGATTAATTCTGAATGTTTCTCAAGACATGAGCACACACACAAAATGCCAACACTGCACATTACCAGGAGTAGTTACCTTACTGTGCTTAGAGCCTCTTGCTACGATGAAACACGGAGTTCTTTCTGAGGAGTTTGTTGCTGTGAGTCTTTTCCATTGCACTGTGTTTACACCCAAAGCATGGGCCCAAATCCTCCTGTTACAGCCCCAGACATCAAATCCCTTGGTGTTTGTGGGAACAGCTGTGGCTGACAGATTTTGACCCCCATGCATTGGTTTTTAGGAATTCAAGCGTTGCAGTTGTTCGAGCTGATCATGAGTAAAGACTCTTTCTGCTAATTAATGGCCAAAACTAAGGGGGAAGGGGAAACTGCCTTTTATTTCAGTCAGGTGTAACGATTCAAGGCTAAATGTATGCAGTAAATGCAAAATTTGAACACTACATATCCACTCTTTAACACATGTAATATTTTTCTGATGCTCAGTGTTGCCAACTGTTCATGGATGTCAGAAAACGTTTTAGTTTACAAAGAAGGTGAGTTTTGGCTCTCCTTTTATAACATGATTTGCTTTTTTTTTTTTTTTTTAGAATTTTTTAAGAACTTTTTTGTACGTTGTGTTGTCACATTTGATGTAAATCAAAATTTCCATGTATAACTTGATGATTTACCATCTCTAAATGAAGCTATTATATTGAAGGTTTTTTAAACAGCACCTTGCCTGAAACATAAAAAAAAGAAAATTAGCATTTAATATATTTAAAATTAATTCTATATTTGAACACCTATTTTGGTTACCTTTAATTGAAATATTAGTAGGTTATATTTGTTACCTGAACTCCTCCTTGACCATTCCAGGCTGTGTATATTCTGGGGTTTGCTGATTCTGTAGGCATTATTTGCCTTTCATGAAGTCTGCATGTCTTGTTACACAGGTCTTTTCTATGAGTTAATTTCTATGTGCAATAACTTAAGTCAAAGGACTAGATGCACTAATGTGTAAACAGATTTAGACTTATTACACGAGATTGTCATATTGCACTTCATAAACTGTGGGTAACTACAATCTGCTTGCTTTGTTTTATTAAATAAATTTATCCCATGTCCAACAATTCAGTTAAATTTTATTTCTACAGCACTTAGCCATGATCCTGTGCAAGTTGTTCCAAAAACTTCATTAGAAAGGCAGTTTGCTGAGTGTGCCATGTGCTTGCAGACTTTTTTATATATACATGTACTTGGTGATTATCATGATTCCAGGGGTAACCAGTGCTGAGACTGTTATAGCTTTAAAAGCCTAAATTTAATTTTACTGTCCTTAAACTAAATTTAATCACAGTAGTTAGTTACCATATGAGGCACGTGCTTTAAAATCATGTATTTCATAGTTGTGAAAGCCTTGAAAGGATTACCAGCAATTAAGGAGGGGGTCTGCACTTCTGTTAACTTCAAGAGCCTCTGTGAGCTTGATCATCTTTTAGTCTGCCTGGACTCTGTTGCTACTATTTTGTGTCCAGTCGTGACATCAGAGTGGTTATATATTATATTTACAGAAAACACTGTGTACCTCTCCTTTTGTCTGCAGGATACCCTTAGCACCAGTATTAACAGATGGAAAAAACAGAGGCCCTTTTAATAGTTGCAGGAGTCAAATTCCTATTTTATTTCAAGTTGGGTTTTTTTCTGTGTGCATGAAGGACCCCCAGTCCTGGATGTGTGTCTCCTACATATTCATCCAGCTGCTTTACTCCTGCAGCAGCTTGGCAGGCATCCCAGGACTCGGGTTAGTTTTTCCAAGTCCCTTTTACAGCTAAAACCTGAACTACCACAGGAAAAAATTCCTGCCCCGGGCTATTTTGGGTGAAGTCGCCCTGAACCGTGACAGTGACCCGGATCTGCTTTCGCTGGCACCGCCCTCTCCAGCAGGGAATGGGCTCCATCCGGAAGGACAGCAGGGTTTGTACACTCCCTCCCCGAGCCGTGTGTCCCCGCAGGGGTGGCACAGGGCGGCTCTGGCTCGCAAATGTCACTTGTTTTTAAAAGCGCCGCCCGGGAGGTGCCGAGCGACCCCAGTTATGAACAAGCCTTCGCTGTAGCACCGCTGCTTGGCCGGCGGCGCCGAGCGGGCACCGCCGGGTCAAAGGCAGTGCGGGACCGCGCGGGAAGAACCAGCCGGACACGATTTGGGGCACACAGCTTTATTTACCGTCGATCCCGATCTCCGCACGGGCCCTGCAAAACACGGAGGGTAAAGGGGAGGTTACACACGCGCCTCAACCCGGCCGCCCCGTGGGGGTGGGCGCAGCCGGGGCGCTCAGTAGTAGGTTTGCTTCACGTATATCAGCAGTCTAACACGTGTCAAGAGACATCATTGCGGCCCAGCGCGGCCTGACCCGCCCATCCCCAAACCCACTGCTGCGCTCACCTCCTCTGCCGCAGGAGGAAAAGAGGCCGAGCACCCCCCGCGCTCCCCTTTATAGAGCGGCCGGCCCCGCCCTCCTCGTGTTCTCCAATAGGATTGGAATCTGTGGTCACGTGCTGATCCGGGTGCTGCTGTGCGCGAGGGTGGGCGGGGCCGCGTGAGGGCAGTGGGCGGGAGCGCTGAGGGGCGTTGGGCGTGTGAGCTGGTGCTGTGAGGGGGTTTGGTGGTCTGGCGCCGCCCCCCGGCGTGTGCGGCAGGTTTTTTCGCCTTTTTCGAAGTAGTAGTACTTTTCTCTTTCGTAGTTTGCCCTAGCGCTCTGTTGCTGTGAGGAAATTAAAAACATCAAAGCTCAGGCCCCCGGTCAGAGCTCCCCCGCACTGAGGGGGTGCTGAGGTGGGTTCCTGAGGGAGGTGCCGGGAGCAGAGGGCGCTCCGGAATGCTCGGCTCTCTGCCCCTCCTCAGCACCTCTTTTGGTCATTTTTCCTGTTTCCAGTGGGGAGACACTCATGTTAAATAACTCCAATTTGGAACTAGCACATGCAGCGTTTGTACAGCAACTGAAAAACTCCTCCCGTGATGTAGCAGGATACCAGGGCACACACAGTGTGTTCAGTGGTCTGCTTGTTCTCAGCCTGAATGCTTGAAAGCCAAGGCCTCCCTAAAGAAACCCATTGGAGAACTGGAATTACAGTGCGGTTTGTAGCTCTAGCATCTGTTTATGTATTCAGGCTTGCAGGTCAGGTCGTCATTAGGACAAGGCTCTGAGGTACATGGTGGGATTGTTGGGGTGTCTTGTGCAGGGCCAGGAATTGGACTCGATCCTTGTCAGTCCCTTCCATCTCTGGGTATTCTGTGATTCTGGGTGATAATTACATCTCCTGCCCGCAATCAAAGAGAGCTGGTGTGTGCACGTGGCATGGCCGGACCCCGTGTGTTCTGCAGCTCCATTAGTTATATCAGTTTAAAAAGCAAACAATATGTACAAGGAAAAAGTGGCTTTGTTGTATAAATAGGTGGCTGAACGCTGGGCCATTGCCAGGCACTCTAAATTTACTCTTTTTACGGCTTATTTCATTTGATTCAGTACTTTGTGTTTATTTTTATCGGTTCAGAGGAACCTGGACTGGGTTTTTGGTTCAAAGGGGCACGATGGTTTTTTTTGGCATTTATTTAAGGTATTGCGCAGCACAGGGTCAACAGTGAGTTTGTCAAGACAAAGGCTATGCCAAATAACTTTGGCCTGATCTGCTCTGAAAGTAAGAAACGAGGAGGGAAATTAGAATCATAGGATTATGAAGGTTGGATTATGAAGGTTCAAAGAGGCCTTTAAGATCATCAAGTCCAACTGTCAACCCAGCAGCTGTAACCCCTAAAGCACTAAAATGATATCACCCAGTGCCAGGTCCAGACGCCTCCTGAACACCTCCGGGGATGGTGACTCCACCACCTCCCTGGGCAGCCTATTCCCGGGCACGGTGGTGCAAATTCGTGCCGCCTGAATTTCGGTATTTCTTGATAAGAACAAAGCAGCAGCAGCCAGCTGCCATCGCAGCCCTCGGTTTGCTACGGGGCAGCCGCCCGAGCCCCCGGGCAGGCGGCGGGTCGGTCGGGGCTCGCTCGAACGGGGCGGCTCCGGCAGCAGCGTCGCTGGCCGCTCCCGGGCCCCCGGGAAGCGCAGCCCCCGGGAAGCGCAGCCCCCGGGCCGGGCAGTCCCCGAGCGCGGTCCCTGTGCCCGTCCGCCCGCGGGTGACGTGGTGCCCCGGCCGGGCGGTCCCCGCGCCCGCCCCGCCCGCCGCGGGGAGCGCCGGACGCGCCGGTCCGGAGGCAGCGCCGAGCGGGCGGAGCGGCCCCGCGGTGCAGCCATGGAGCGGCTCCGCCGCCGCCTCCTCCTCCTCCTCAGCCCCGCCGTGCTGTTGTTGGTGCTGCCGCCGAGGCCCGCGGTGAGTCCGGGCCCGCCGGGCCGGGGGATGGCAGGGGCGGCCGGAACACGGGGAGGGCCGGGGGAGCGGGGCCGGGGGATCCTGCCGGGATTAGCGAAGGATGGCCGTGGGTGCTGAGCCAACAGACCGCCCGGGTCACTGCCGGTAGTGCCGAGTGCTCCTGTATGCGGGGTGAGGGGCTGCAGCCCCACAGCCTCATCCTGCCCCACAGCTTGATCAGCCCCGGAGCCTGACCCAGCCCCACAGCTGTGCACCCGCAGCTGTGTCCTGCCTTGCCACCCGCTGTGTCGTTATGATACAAGTGTCCTAGTCTGAACATATATCTCGTAATCCTCGAAATATAAAAATACAAGTAATTTCCCACAAAGTAGTTGGAAAAAGTAGTACAGAGAAACTTTTGAAACAGTAGTACAAAGAAACTTTTAAAAACTGAACCTATGTAGATTGGTATAGCAACCAGGGAGATGCTAGAAGGTCTTTGCTCTGCCTCTTTGTAATTAATGGGGCTTGTTTTCTTTCTGAAAAAAACCCAACATTGCATATATATTGATAACCAAATGCAAATGATGGGTTACAGGCCCAGTCATGGCATTTTGGTTGCTCTGTTTCCAGAGCAAATGCAACAATGTGCATTAAATTTACATGTGGTTGGTTGGGATCCAAACCAGGCCACAGTTTTGAATTCAAAGGTGAAAGACAAAGTGCACGAGTCACTGCCCTACGAAACCTCTTAAGAAATAACCAGGTTGGTTGTAAGGTATTGCAATAGGTGGAGCAATAAAAGTGCACGAAATAGGGAAACTGGTGCAAAGCAGATGGAATGCTGAGCAGATTATTTTTACAGAGGTAATAATTTTAAACAGTGTACTTTACAGTGGGTGCTGTCTGTTGTGTGTGTACTGAGATGGAAAGCTAAGTTCAAAAATTCACTTCTGAAAGGTGCTCTTGTTTGCAAGTGCTCCAGATCAGGAGATAATGAAAAAGGCCACCTGGCATTTACCGTTTTCATTGTACTCGAATGTAGCAGAGGAAAGTTTGAGGTTCTGTTCTTTGATGGATTGTTCATTGTTACCTGAAAATACTGGAGTAAGATAGATATGGGGTTGTAGTTCGGGTTAAGCAAAGCTGAAGGCTTTGTTTTTCACCTGGAGTATAATAGCTCCACTCCCCTTCTTTAAAAGTAAAGTAAACACATTAGCAGTGAGGCTGTGTAACATACCTACTGTTGTTACTTTGTTAGGAAACTGAAAAAAATTAAATGCAGGCTGTCAACAAAAATTACTTTAGAATCTTTATTGTACAGTACTAATGTGTTTGTCTTAGTCTGGACTGTGAGGTTGAACTGAGGTCTCTCCAGATTTGGGCTTCAGATTTTGCAAGGAAAACAATGATTTTTAACTCTTGAATTTTTAAAAACAGTACTCAGTAAAAACAGTAATAAGTATTTTTAAATACTAAAAATACTTTTCAAATCAACAGATATTAATAAATTTTGTATATTTTTACTTGCACGGTCACAAAAAAATAGACTCATACCCTGGTAGAATTCAGCCCTTTTTCCTCTTGATTTCTCTCTCCCCTTGGTCTCCCTGCCCTGCCACCTCAACTCAATATCTGATCTCAGGTTCTCCATTTCTATTTCTTTTCTTGGCTCTCTCCCTGCTCTTTTTGCTCTGCCAGCTGTAGATCCTCACTGTGACTTCAAAGTTGAAATCTATTGCCCAACTCCAGTCCCTTTTCAGAACTAGTTTTAATTTCTGTGAACTCGGTCCCAGTCATCTCACCTGTGATTAACCCATTTAACAGTGAAGGCTTATTTAAAACTATTCTTGTCACTTGAGTAATAAATTCCCATGGAAAAGACTGGCATACAATCCTTGGTGTTGAGGTAATGTAAAAACACAAGACTGCCTAAAGACTTTGCAGGTTGTTTTCTTTAGATTTCTTCTAAGAGTAGTGGTGGTGATCTGCTGCTCTGTATTTTCCTTGTCTGATAACTACACTGTTGGTTACCTGACATCCACATTAGGAAAGGGTGAAATCTCAGATACAGCAGTGAGAAATGCAGTAGAGCTGTCAGTAAATAACAGCCACCATCGATATAATACACTAATGATTTACAGCTCCCTTTACATTGAAAAGAACCTTGTTGTTGTGAGCCCTGGACATTCCAAACTGTGCCTGTTTCTGTTTTAACATGGAGTCAGTGCAACTGGAAAATAACAACCTCTCTGGGATTAAAGTGGCATTTGGAACATGAGTCTGTCCCTCTGCAGCCGGTGGGACAGGTTTCAGTGCTGGGTTTGTGTGCAGGCAGCACCTGACACGGGAAAATCCCAACCTCAGGCAGGTGTGTTTCCTTCTGGAGTGTTCTTTATCTCAGCACGAGGTGTTTGCCCAGGGAACTGATAGGTGTGAAACCCCGTGAAGGTTTACAGAGGACATGTTCAAGCGCTGTGTTAACTAACACTGATGTGTTTTATTTGAGTTGCAGGTCTCCTTGGCTGCTCAAAAAAATAGTCTAATAGGGCCTGGGGGTTTTTGAGGGTGGGGGATGTAAATTTGTCTTGCACATTTAAAATTAGCGTGGACAGCTCTGGCCTGGAGTGTAAATGATGTGCTACGTGTTTATAACTCTGCCCTTGGATTGGTGATGTTCTTGTGGCTATTGAAATATGTTTGGGGTTTACAGAGAGAATCAAGGGTGAAAGCTCATCCAGGAGGAGAGTTGGGGTGACCTCTTGTAGCCTTCAGTTTTTCCTATTGCAGAAGGAGTGGGTGTATGAATGAGAACCCCCTGAACTGGGTTACAGCCTGATGAGAAATAGCTAATTGGAATGTAGTCTAAGATTAAAAGATCTGTAGAATCGATTTAGCTTTCCAAAGAAGATAAAATGTATTTTTGTCAGCTCTCTTTCATATATAAACTTCATTATTAGTTATGCTGAAAAACTCCCCCCAGTAGTTTTCTGAATTTCACAAAGACTTTCTTCATGGCCTGGTTTTATTATGCACAGGGAGTTTTAGGCTTTAGCCTGGCAGTGTAATGAGATAGCTGTCAAAACCAGGGTAATGAATCATAGGCTATCTGGGATGAATATGCCAAGTGCTCGCAGTGTGTGCTAATGTCTAAAAATATTTTGCTTTGTGTCCTTATTGGTTTTAGTTGTGGCTCCAGTAGCATAAATTATGGTGTAGGCCTTTTGGTATTGGGAGGAAAGTGTCTGGAGCTGTTAATGCTGAGAAGTAGGTTTAATGGTTTTTAGTAAAGTGCAAGTGTACAGCCTGATGAATATTAAGCTAATTATGGAGTGAGGAATATAGGGGTTTTTTTTCCTTGAGTGATTGTATATCTTGTCAATATTTTGGTTTGGTAAGCCAGGCATTGCCAAAGAAATCCTGAAGCTGTAAGTTACAGTTAGCAAACCATCTATCCTTTATCATCCATCAGCCCAGCACATTAAGTTTGGTGCATATGTGTTCCTACTTCAGACTTATAAAAGAGAAAATTATTTACCTGGTAACATGGCACTGATTTATTCACTGGTGGGCACTCAGTTACTTCTTTGAGGTCAGTACCAGTTCTTGCAGTCAGCACACACCATCACAGTGTCACTGTGAAGCCTTTTCCTGTTCCTTATTCATACTTGAGGAACCTCTTGTGGTGTCACCCCCACAGCAAAACACATTTCTGGGTTGCAGAGCTGTGACCTCAAGGAACAGAGTGCCCTGGTTTTGTGTCTGCTGTTCCCACTGACTGCAGCGGGGCTTGTGCCTGCGTGGTGACCTGCATTTCTGAAGTGCTGGCTTTAACCAGATGAATTAATGGGTGAAGTTATTGCTGGGGGGATTTGTTTGCTTCTAAGACAATAAAACAAACTGGGGCATTGCTTTGCCAGCCCTTAGAAAAGTTCGTGCTGTGGGGGTGAAGGAAGATGTTATCACCTGGACACTGAACTGCACCACACACACACCAGAACTTGTTCTACGGCTTTCACTGACCTGCCTTTGACTCCGTGGGTCCTTCAGAATTGTTTTGAGTAATTTTGTTACTTGGCTTTCTAAAATGTTTTATCTAAAGATATGGTAGGTCTCGACTGAGAGGGAGGTTCTTATGCAAGGGTTGACGAGTATTTATAAAGTGCATTTCTATTAGACAATATCTTTCAATTCTAGCTTAAAAATTCTATTTTAGTCCCAAATTTTAGGTTGGTATGGATTATTAGCAGTCAGCACTTTAGAGCTTTTAGAGCTTTAAATCCAATTTAAATCCAAATCAAATTTAAATCCAATGGGAGCTTGAAAATTTGTCTTTTGAATGAAATTATTAAAAATTAATTCTAAAGCAGTCCCCAAGTAATTTCAAAATATTGTAAACCCTTCGCTTAACATGGCTGTTGATGTGGAAGATTGTTATGAGTACAGACTGCCAAGGCAGTAGAAGCTCTCCCTGAATTCCAAAGAAGGCAGTTGTTAAAATAGACCTTATTGCAGTTTCAGATGAAATGAAAGAACCAAACCAGGTTTTCATTCTGTCTCATTTTCTTTGTTCACTAAATTATTTTTGCTTAGTTGTTTCATGTCTTGACATATTTTTCTTGTATTCAGTTGTTGCGTCTTCTCAGAAATAAAATTGTAATATGAAATAAAAATGTCTTTCAGGAACTTGCATTGCAACACAAGAGTTGAGACCCCACCCCTGCAGGGAGGGAGGACAGGATCTCTGATACCACTTTGTATAAAGAATCTGTCTCAGGCCTGAGACTATGATTTTTGTGGTGGACAGTGTTCTTACACACACAGAAATGAAAACAAGTTTGGTTTGTACATACAGGGTTTTATAATTTCCATAGCTTTTCATAACAGTGCTAATCCTAGGCTTTAATTAATCAATTAACCAATTAATTATAAAACTTTGTGTTCAAAATAAAATCTGTTGGGTATTTCCAACCTTGATACCACAGTCTCCAGCCACTGATAAAAGTCACAAATAAAATCAGGAGAAAGTGGTTTTTTATTTCTGAGTCTGGGTGAAACACATGTAATTATTTAAATAATCTGTTCATTTTTATGGCCATTGTTTGATACAATTTGAAAGAATAAAACCTTTTTTCCATACTAATTCCCTAGCCTTCTCCAAGTGACTGCTGCAGACATTGGTCAAAATAAATGAGTAATATTGCATTGCAAAGTCTACAGTCATTGGGTTTTTTTAAATTTAGGTCATAAGCTTCAGCAGTGTCAGTGTGTTACTGAGCTGGGTGATCCCACTGCATGGTATCATGTGCTTTGAACAGTAGGAGTGAAAGGAAGGTTTTTAATGCATAGTATTTTATGTATTTCACTTGGGTTTAAATACAGCTTTAGAAGTAAGGAAGACCTAATGAAATTTGCCCTGTGTTCAGTCTTTCACCCAAAGGAGATGATATCTGTGACTCTCAGGGTTGCAGTGACCACATCAATGTGACTTTGATGGTTGAATATAAGAAAGCCCTTGAGAAGCAGTAAAACTTAAACACAGAGCTCTGGGGGAGGTGAAGGAAAGCACTGGAAATTCGGTGTATTTTAAAGGGAAACGATGCACATGTGTGGCAGAACCTTTCTGTGCCTCCTGCTGGTTTCACTCCCAGTGAGACTCCTCGGGCAGGGAGCAGAGCTGAGCCCGGGGCAGGTGGTTTCCCTGGCTTGGTGGACCTCCTGGCTCTTCCAGGCACCATTCCCTTCAGTCCTGCTGTCCCAGGAAAGGTTCACATCTCCCTGTTGTCCATGGAGCGATATCAGGCACCATGGGGTGGGAGGTGGGAGCGGTGCTTTTCCCCCACACCAAGGATCTTACTTAAAACAAAGCTTAAAAAAGCTGTTGTGATTCCATGATCTCGGTCATATCTGAGAACTCTCTGGGTCGTTCTGCCCGTGGCAACACTCAGGTGTTCATCTGGTTTTCAACAGGAACTTGCATGATTGGCTTCACCCCTCATGGTTTTCTTTCTTTGTGGTTCAGTTTGGGAGTGACTGAGGGAAGCACAGAAATTTTCCTACTCAGAATGCAGAGTGTGCAGAGGAACCCTTGGCATGTTCTTACTTTCTGTTCGGTCCCAAATCCTACCAACCTTCTCAAATGTCACTAATCTGGAGCACAATACTGGCTACTGATGTTTTGATGAGAGTTTCAGAGCCCACATATAATTCCATCATTTCTGTAGCCTTGATGCCACAATAAATAGATATTCAAATGTTAAATCTACACATCTGCAGCAAGTAGTGTTCCATGTGCTACATGTTCCTGATATGTGATACCCAACCACAATCATGGTGGTTATTTTAGAGATTATTTTTTGTGGAGATGACACACTTTTATTTCTCACTAAGAAGACAGGAAGAGAACATGCTTTGTGGAGAATATGCTGATTCTGTAAGATAAGAAGATAAAAGATAACACTTGTGCACAGAATAAGGAGTAGCCTAGAAAAACAATCTTAGTCTCTGTAAGGAGAAAATGGGGTGAATTTGCTCTGTGTGGTATTTTATTCGCAACTGAACTTCGACACTAGTCATTACATTCTGGGTCAAATTCCCACCTGCAATTTAAAGGAACTTCAATAATTTCGATTTCTTGTCTTTAACAGCTGTATTTTCTTTTTGCCCTTGTTCTTACATCCAGTCAGGTCATTGGGCTTGGGAGATACTCTGAGTTCAGTTCTGCTTTGTAACATCTTGAGCTGCATATTTTGTTGGGCAGCATGAGAGGAACTGGTACTCACTGTCGCTGTTTGAACAAACACTGCAAAGTTTAATCCCAGTGCAGCTGTAAATATTTTATCTAAGTGCAGATGCCTGGTCAGCCTGCATAATTTAACAATGTCAGGTAATGAAAATTATATTTATGTGTTAAGATACTTCTCCCATTTTTTCTGCAGTTATTCCTGATCTGTGGTTTGTGTACTGTTGATTTGTACTTTCATTTTTTCTGCAGTGTGTATTTTACAATTGTCTGTTCCAGCTGATTATGACTGGAAAGAAGCATGTACAATATTTATAGGTGCAGCCTGAACATTGGGTAGTTATTACTGTATTATATTATCCTTCTGGCTTTCTGCTTTACGTGGAAGTCTGATGCTTTACTTGAATTACACTAAAATGTATAGTTTACAAAGAAAGTTACTCTTATGTCCATGCATGGTCATTTGGCAATTAAGTATTTTGCTTTGCAGTAATTCTAATATGACCAATAATTGTTTTTTTACCATTTGAATCATCAAAGATGTTGTTAATGATGTAAAATGAATACGCTTTCGTTTCATGTGGTAGGTTAAGAGTTATATTTAACTGTGAAACTTCTGAACTGTGGCAGGTGGCACATTTTCAGATGAGCAATGCAGATACAGCCCAAAAATGACAAGTTACTTGAGTGAAAACTTGAGACTTGGAAAGTGGAAATTGGTAATTCTTAGAGTGTATGGGATCATCTTTAGTTTAGTTAGGAAGAGAAGATAGGCATTAAATTAACATGTTTGTTCTGCTTTGTGTGGTGAGACACCTTGCACTTGGCCTTGCTGTTCCCACAAGAACTGCACTGTTCTGAGTCCTCAATGTTTGTGTGATGCCCTTTTAATAAAATTCCATGCTCTGCAGTATCCAGGTCAAAAGCTGTTTGGGCTGGAGAAGGACAGGCAGCACCAAACTTCCATATCCCATAAATCCAGAGTGACGTGTCCCAGGGCCAGAAGGGTTAGAATGTTCAAGTTGAGGTTTGAACCCTCAGCCTGCTGCTCTCTCAGGGGTGTCTGTGGATGTGTTCACACACATGGACTTCCCTAAACAGTGTTATTTACTCTCTTCTGCAGAAATACAGTGTTGGGAGACACGAGGTGCAAAACTGCAGATGGAGGTGGAGTTAAAGCACGTCCCACTTTGTTTTTAGGGGAACTCAACACAGTGAGATCCACAGTGCTGACAGCAAACTGAACCAAACCAAACCAAAAATCACCGAATTCAAAAAAAGTTGTTCAGTCTGTGCACTTAAAAGAAGGGAAGTTGTAGCCCATGTGCTGTTTGACAGTTATGAGTAAACTCTGTAGTAAATAATTACATTCAGCATCTGGGTTTTTGTTTTGCAGAACACCAGCTCAGTAACTGTGCCAGAAACACTGCTGTTTGTCTCAACCCTGGATGGCAGTTTGCATGCTGTGAGCAAGAGGACAGGAGCCATCAAGTGGACTTTAAAAGAAGGTGAGCAGGAGGTGTCCTGATGCCCTCAGTAGCAGTAATAACAGACAAATTAATGGGTAATTCCAACTGTTGCAGGACCTGGTAAATACTTTCTTTTCTTTCTTAATTTTGCTCTTGTTCCAGAATTAAGCTACAGTGTTTCTGGAGTCATGTTCACCTTCGTAATTTCACTTGCAGATATTTTCCAGGTTTGTGTGTGGTTTTTTTAGGTTTGTGGGGTTTTTTGTTTGTTTGTTTTTCCTCCCAGAATGTTTAAGCTGTAGTGATATAATTGGTAGGTAACATGTTTTATGGGAATGAGCACAATAGATGTGTCAGCTTGTGGAGCTGATGGCAAAGGGATTGCATGATCCTGCCTCTGGAATACCCTGCATTCACTGGTACAGTGCATATCTGTAAACCTTGGGGATTTTTCCTATAATAGATGTTTAGGAACAGCACAGATTTTTAAATAAAAGAATTGCAATTGTGTAAAGAAATTTACCATTGCTCAGTGACTGGAATGGATTTTGTAATTTTTATTACTGATCAGAGCTATCTTCGTGAAAAATTTGGTAGTTAACACATATTTGGTTTAGTGGGACTCATGACATATGGCAGAGATGATAGCAGCACTTTCTCTTCACTTCTGGAAATAAATTAGATAGAAGGTCAAATGCAAGGAGTCAGTGATTGCATCATTCTGTCCTCTATTTTTAACCTGCTCTCGGTTCAGCAGGTGAGCTGAAATGGTGGGAAATGGACTGTGCATATCTGATGTCTGCAGTACAAACCAGCTGCTGTTCTTTGTGAAGCCACTCATATTGGAAAGCAAATCCAGCAGACAAAAAGTTAACTTCTTAAATGAGCAAAGGCTTTTGTAGCTCCTCTTGGAGTAAAAAGGGGGTGGTCAAGTATTTTCTTGAAGGATCCTGGTTAATAGGTGTGATGACATTTTCTCCCCTGTCTCCTGTTTAAATTTAGACCCCTCCTTTCCCTGACCAGCCTTGCTAAGGCAAGTTATCCATCTCCTGCTTTGTTGTTGCTAGAGGCTACTGCAGTGCTAAGAAAAGCTCATTCCACTGACACAAACATACACTGCTTAGTCCTGGCCTAGAAAGGTGCCACAACTGGCATTAGTTTGCAGCCAGACTTACTGAGTGGCAAGAGGTGTTTTGAGGAAGAAATGATCCCACTTTGGTAACGTCAAGGATCAACGAGGATCCTTGTCAGTGTGTTGCTCAAGGAACTTCCCTTGTTTAAAAAAAAAAAAGAAAGGTTGCAAAACTCTAGTTGGTACAGTAGAACTGCCAGACTGGATTATCCACTTTTATAGCACTCCTTGTGTTCTCTCTGCTGCTAACTACGAATTATTCTGCAACTTATGTACGTGAAGGGTGTTCACTTGAATTTTGGAAAGCACTTATTGCCCGTTACTTTATTTCTGTGCAACAGAGCAACACACAAGGGTCAATGAAAAAAAAATTAGTGGTAGCTGTCATTGTTCCAAGATGCCTCCTGAGTTAACTTAGCTAAGTGGACATGGAACAAGGGCCTGTACATATAAATTGGTAAATTAATTTTTAATGGGAGGGGTTTTATTTATTTTTGCAAAACTTGCTATGATTCTGCGTGTGTGTGGTCGCTCTGTGGGTGGGAAGCCCAACAGCTGGAAACAAATAATTCATGAAAGTCCTCACCAACTTTCTGTGCTAAATCCCTGGAGAGATTTAATCGTGCAGGATTCAGTATTAATATTAGTGTGTGATACAGTTGCTGGGTGCACCTTCTCTGTCACCAATATCTGGCAGTGTTGCAGAGAATTACCAGTAGGAAGCTGCCTGCACTGCAGTGTTCTTGCAGCTGCCATTTTACCCTGATTACCAGAAAAATGAACCATGTGCTGTAGCTCACGTTTGAGGAGGTCACCTGAAGTGCTGCATTGGCATCCACCAGGAAGGGAACATTTTATTACTGCCCTTAAGCAGCAAGGTATTTAACAAAGGGCAATTCAGGTACATATTATTTTCATTGGGGGAAGAAACCAAGGCACTGTTCATTATCAGGCAGTGCTTAAACAAACATGAAAATCTTGCCCTGTGTGGCTTGTTTTAATTTAGTGCTGAAGCTTATCTTAGGTATGCAGAGTAAATGAGCCAGTGCTTATCACCACAATAACGGGTTTGGGTTTCCTGCCTTCACTTAGTGCTGGCAAGAAAGGCACTTGGAATACTTGTGCTCCCCATGAAGCAAAAAATGGGTCACTTGGGAATAGGACTTTCCACTGAAATAAGGTGTGTCCCTGGGGACTTACTTGTTGAGGGTGCTCAGTACTTTCATTTCCTCTATTGGCTTCGATGGGTCCTGCTCTCTGACAGCTCTCAGGATTTTTCAGTGACCAGGTAACTGCTGCTGCTCATTCCCTGGGCCTTGGAAAGCTGGAATATGGTTGGAAAGATTATAGAAAGAACTCACACCTTGTGTTGAAGGCACTCGTTGGAAAGGGCATTGAAAAGCTGTGGCACATTTCGGGTCTGAGACTGAAAAGGCTTTTGGTGCCACCTCTGACCCACACAGGGAGCTGTCAGTGCCAGGTGACAGTGGGACAGGCTCCTGCAGGCTCCCTTGTTTTCTGCACTTGCCTCTAGCAAGATCCTTAGTGAACATCCTCAGTAAGGTTCCTCGGGAGGAAATATCTTCCCCAAAATTGCTGGAAATGAAACAACCTCTGTCATTTCCTATAGACCTCTTTGGAAACCCTGTTGGAAGGCAGAATCAGGAGAATGCTCTGGTGTCAGACTTCATGTTCACAGTTCTGATTTCAGTGTGAGCTTTAAGAGTGTGATTTTATGACTGTCCTGTTCCCTCACATCTTTGTAAAACTCATCCTGTACGTCTCTGTTAACTCAAGGGCTTAGCTCAATGAATAGCATATTGAACTGGAGATGTTAAAGATGCAGTTGTTTTAAACTGTGCTCCTGGACAGGCTGTTTCTCTGCTCTGAGAGTCACTTCTGTGTGTCCTTCTGTACTGTTCAAAGAGATCTCTTTTCATTCAGCAGCTCCTTAAAAGCTTTTCCCTTGAGAACTGATTCAAAGTATTTTGCCAGAAGAATATATAATATATACAGATTTGGATCTAGATTTAGAATCAGCAGAAATTTTGTTACGACTTTCAGTTCTCTGTAGTAATCAAAAATTGATGGCCCACAATCAATTTAGAAGGTTTGGATTTCCAGTACCTTACTTATAACTTGTGGACTTCAGTGAGCTCTGTGATAAGATAAAGATAGAAAAACTTTATCTATTAATGGGATGCCACATGTAGATTTTAAAAGGGAAAGTCTGAGATCTGTAGGTCCTGCTTTTGTAACAGTGGTTTTTCCCAGGCAAGAAGGAATATCTTTGTAAATAGTTAGCCTAAATATATGGAAATAGCATAATTGCAAATTAGTAAGGATTGTCAAAGCAAAACAACTGTAGGACAGGATGGGTTTCAGGAATTTCCAGAGCATAGTTTGTACCTCTAACCTCATTTGCTGTGATTGCAACAGCAGGGAAGGCTGACATGGTTTTAAGTTGGCCCGTTAGCCCAAACCTTATGGTGTGGCCTCAGGCCAGGAAACCGTTTTTCCAGCTCATTCCAACTCACTGTTTCAGAATCTCCCACTTCTCCTTTTGAGTCACTGGGCACGTTACAGTGATGAAAACAGGCAACTTTGTCTTGTACGTTAAAGAACACTCAGATTTTGGTCAAAGGACGAATTTTATCTCATCGTGTCTTTGTGAAATATGGAGAAAAGTCAAATGCATTATATTTAGCAGTATGGGTATAGTTTCAGAAATTGTATATTTGGCTTTTTTCCATATATGTATGCAAAGTGTGGGTTAGAACAACCTGAAACATGCTCTGCCCACTCACAAATATATTCTGGCCATGATGCAACCAAAACTTGACTGGGACATCTGCTGCTGCCAGGTGAAAACCTTCATTCTGGAGAAGTGTAACAATAATATTTTACCAAATATCTGGACAGTCATTATGTTACCAGGTTCCTAAGAACTGCTTGTAAATAAACTTTTGGAGTTCTAAAATAAATCTTTATAATCTAGGATCAATGTTGTTTTGGAATCTTTGTTTTCTTAGTCGAGAAGGTGGAAAGGTTTTCAGACAGGATTTCATACCAAAATCCATCTGTAGGACATTGCAAGAAGTTGGCTTTTGTGCTGCTACAGGGAATGGAAGCTGGAGGGAGAGAGAAATGCATTTTTATCAGAGTTTTATCATGTTTTCTTTGGAAAGCTTTTGTTCTGATGCCGAATAGTTAGTGCTTTGTTCAGGGGTTATCACCCTGATGGTGGCGTTGGAACAGATGGGGCTGTTGCAGTGACTGTACCTAATTACAGGGAACTGCAGTTCAGGGAAATTTTGAAAGCAGGATGACGTGGTTGCAGTCCCAGCATGTCAACACTTGAGTGGGCAGCAGCTGGAGAGGAGACCAGGCCTCACTCTCTGACTTTTGCAAGAACTCTGGGTTTGACCCGTTGTAGAGCAGAGGGTGACTTCAGTTCCAGCTCATCCTTTTACTGCTCTGTATTCAAGCATATGAAAACTATTGCAAAACCTGGCAGCAATTAATTAAAGTCAAGATTCTCTTTTTATCTCAGAGCGAGTTCTTATTTCAAAACAAACTTTGACATCGGGTTGGAACACAGCCCAACCCACATGAAAGTGAACGTGAAGGGCTCATTGTCTGTCTCAAAGGATCTTTGCAGAGCTACGACCTGAGTTCAGGATCATAAAAGTGTTAAGAAAATGAGAAAATTTGCTTCACCCCAGTAACAAAAAATGTAGAGAAATGGCTCTCCAAGGCCTGTCTTTCCAGGTGGAAGGTGCTAGTGAGAGAATTCCTTTCACTTCAGCAAATGAACCCTCCCTGGGTTTGTGTTCACTCCTCGTGAACAGCTCCATGTGATGGAAACGAATCAGATACCAGTAAATGCTTTCTGACAGTTCTTACACGACACCCAGTGCTGCAGGAAGCCATCACAATAATCAGTGTTTTGGTTCCTGTGCTAAAAAAATTCCTGCTGCTTTGTAATAACTTCTTAATCTGTTCCATCTCCCTCTTTATCATTGCTCGTAAATCAAATTTCAGTTACTAAGAAAACAAGGAAAAGCAGGATTTTTTTCACTTCTGGTGAAGCACATGATGGTACTAAAGAGAAGTTCAAGGACTTTCTCATGAGAAAGATGCTTCTGTACACACTGAACAGCTTGGGATTTGTCACAAGGCTTTCCTTCGTGTCATCTGATATCCAACAGTGCTCCAGAAAAACACACTGGAGGAGTTGAAGATACATTCATGAGATTTCTGGCATCTTTTATTAGAGGAGACATTGGTTGATGAAATTGGAAATTGTTATAAGTGACATTTTTCCAATACGTTTCAGAAAGATAAGCTTGGGGGTAAGAGATTAATGCAAGTACATACTGCACATGTGTGTGTGTGTGTTCTTTCACTTTTGTGGTACTGTGTGCTCGATAAAACTATGCCAAAATTCTCAGATCTTTGAGATAACTGGAGCAGAGTGGAGCACTTTTTTTGGTAGATAAAAATAGATTGCTCAGTTTTAGAAAATTAAGTGAAAACAAATTATTAGTCCCAAAATGCTTTAGTGTGTTATTATTTTTCAGTGTATTTTTGAGGCAGAGAGGGAGCTGTAGGAAAGTATTATGAACCAGGCTGTCCTGCAAATGTCATGGACAAACCAGGATCAGTTCCTAGAAAACATAATCTGCTTTTTGAAATTTCCTGTAATTGTTCAGGTTTTCCTGAGCATTCTTTGGAAAAACCCCTGAAATACTGATGAGCTTGAGGAACCCACACTCCTCCTGCTGAGGAGTGAGTTGTGTCAGGGCAGTAACAGAGCAGTGAGGGAGTTTGGGGCTGGATTCACATGGTAGTAGTTTTATACTGTAATTCCATATAACAACTTCACACCACCATTTCATTCCGAGAATAAGCAGTCCTTTTATTAAAATGAAAAGTTTCTGAAGTTAATTCCAACAAGAAACTGTTTTCTTGTGTTTTGCTGACAAGAAGGTGTTCGAGTGCTCGAGTTCATCCACTTTGTATGATGGTCAGCAAATGCTTCTTTCTTACCTGCTTTTCTTTAGCAACAGAGACATGGATATCATAAAGCTTGTGGAATACTTGGAGCAAACACTGAGAAATAACTGACATTAAGTTTGGAGTGTGGGGTGTCTCTCCCAGCACATCCTGAAACCACTTTCTTCACACAAGGGATAGAAATGAATTGCTTGATGTAGTTAATGGAGTAAAGGTCTGACTAAGCAGCGTGGTCTGTAGAGACACAGAGAGAGCACTGAGTCACTGCTTTGTTTGAATGTTAATTATTCTTAGGGCCTTTGATGTGTGCTTGGGTTCTCAATGAATTCAATGGAGTTTATTTTGACACCTTGGAGAATGTACCTGGAGTGTTTTATAGGCTTAAAGAGAAAAAAATTACATCCATGTAGTTATGTTTTGAACAAAGCTGCTTTGAGAGTGTTTGCTGTTGTAAACAGAAATCAATGAAGTAAGAATAATTGTACTGTTATCCCTCATAACTTGCTTTCTGTCTCTGATATTCTGTGTATATCTTTGGGTGAGTGCTGTTTTCAGCTGTGCTGCAGCCAGGGATCTGTCTGGCTGGGGGGTTCTTACGTGTTTTTAATCTGTTCTGTAAAACCAGGATGTTGTTCTAGGTATTACCATCAAACCCAGCAGCTGCTGTGGGGCAGAGTGGGACAGACTTTGTAAGTCCCGTGTCATGGACCCTGAATTTCTTGTTCTTGTCTTGCTTAGCTCTGCAAATATCCCAGTGCTCTCTGGCTGCCCAGAATCTGTGCCAGTTTCCCAATCAAAGGCTCTCAAAACATAGCTGTTTTTGTTCTTATTTCCCTCCTGTTGCATCATGATGTTTGCGTGGAGATAGAAGGGGTGAAAAAACAGTGTTTGCCTGGTCATCTTTCATCCTCTTACTCAGGCTTATTCCAGTGTAAGGGTTTGATTTTCCCTGTGGAAGTGCAGATACTTTGAGGATTGCTTCCTCTGGCCTTCTGAGGCACTGCCAATAGGCCCATTTCTCTTGGGAATTGCAGAGTATGTCTTATAAATCAGGGTATTTCTGTGGTGTTAGCATCATGACTCAGGATTTGCTAAGGTCTCAGATATTTTGAGGTATATATGTGGGTAAAGCTGAGCAATGAATTTCAGGAGGCTTAAAATTCCTCAGGTGCTTTGTAGTTTCCCGTTTTCTGAACCGAGTTCCAGGAGCACAGAGGCTGCTGAGGTGGCACTTCCAAACTGGGCATCAGCCTTTCAAAGAGGAGCAAGATGTGCCAGGCCTGCCTTAACCCTGTACCTGGTGAGTTCAAGGATTGAATGGCCAGTGTTATGACCTTTTCTTTTTCTGTGTGTGCAGATCCTGTGCTCCAGGTGCCGATACATGTGGAGGAGTAAGTGTTCCCTTTATCTCGTTTGCTGCTTGTTTGATTTTCACTGAGGTCTTAAAGTTTGGTTTAATTTGAACCCAAACAATCCGTGTTCTAGAGAAGTTGCCAACCTTGCAGGAGTCAATCTGAGATGGTTTTGGGAGCAGATACAGAAAGGATAGAATTAGCTACCTGTAATAGCTAAGAGGAAACATGGTGTCTGCATCCTGTTCTCTGGAGCCCTTGCTCAGTTTGGTGATCAGGATGGTGACTCTGCCACAACTGAGAGCTGTCAAATGAGAGACAGCTTGGGAGGGACTCTGGGTTTGTACTTACTCCCCTCAAATAAAGACTAAAAATAGTGAAGCACAGGAAACCAACCACCACCACGACCAGAATCTGCAAATAGCACCCTCAAGCTGTAAATTCAGAGTGGTGCCTCCGGCAATCTCACATTTAGCTTCTAGCTGAAATCCAAGTTTGGGGCTTTAACTTTATGCCTGTGAAGTCAGTGGTGACATCCTTTCTTTTGTGTGGTTTGGTTTTGAGTATAGAACCTTAGACATTCAGGGTTTGGGTTTATTTGTGTAGTTTGGGAGGGGTTTGCCTTTATCTCTCAAATTTACTTAGTTCTGGCAACTCTTTTCTTGTTTCTTGCCTTCCTTATGCTTTCTGGGATTTTTTATTTGGTTTGGTTTTAATTCTGTGGCATTTTAAAAGCATATAAATCTTGTTTAAAAGCTTTCACTCAAGTCATTGCCTGCCATGTTTGGGTCTTTGAATTTTCAAATGCATTAGTAATCTTAGATTATATCAGTTCTGTAGCTTCTTTATATTTTTAAATTTTCACATTAATAAATGAAACTCCAAAAACTGCATAATAAAAAGTAAAAAATTTAACATTGGATGAACTTGTCTGTAAAGCCAGTACTGACCACAGTTACTTTCCTGTCCTCTGAGAAGCACAGTACATTTTATCATTTATAATTGCTGCTTAAATCCCAGGCCAGCGTTCCTCCCAGACCCCAATGATGGCAGTTTGTACACACTCGGGGGCAAGAACAGTGAAGGCCTGACTGTGAGTATTTCAGTTCTCTGCTGGGAAGTGCCCCAGTCAGCCCCTCACCTCTGCAGAATGAAAACACACTGATTTTATTAGAGCAGAATGGGATGGTCAGGAAATGATTTCTGCTTGAAAATACCAACACCACATCTTGTCCACTCGTGCAACTTTCCTGTAACTTGCTGAAATAAAATCAACGTGGTATTATCCAAATGTTGAATAATCTCTGTGTGATTTGATGGGAAAGGTGTACCCAAAATAATACCAGATGTGTCACTCTCACCCAAATGCTTCATTTTCTAAAGCCATTTGCCAGAGGCAGGATTAATGTCTGTGCTGTGCTGACTCCTTTAGAAGGTGCCTTTGAAGATCCAGTAAGCAGACAAAAGTGCTGAACCTTTCAGAGTAGTCCCCAGTCCCTGTAGCCCACAGCTACTAGCAAATGTTTGACTTTTGTTTTTAAACTTTGTGGTGACACTCAGATAAAATGTTTGGCTTCCCACAGGTTTTTTCCTCTGGCAGCTGGATGATTTCCCTTCAGAACTTCAGTGTTGTTAAACATTTTTGTAAATATTTATTTACTCCCCACTCCTCCCACCCTCCAGAACAACCAGATCAGAACTTGCAAAATGATTCCTGGTACCTTTCCTGGGTGAATCCAGGGAGCAGCAATCTCTTTGAATCTATTCCATTATTCTGATAATCTCTCTTTTTGAATTACAGTAATTTCTGCTTAAAATCCCTACTATAAAATAGTTGGAGATTCCTCTTCCCTGTCCCAACAGTTCCCTTTAGTTCCTGCTGAGTCCAAGGGGGAAGCATTTAATGCTCATTGTTGGTGAGGATTTAAACCACCCAGACAGTGTCAGTGCTGATGGGAGACCTTGGACCCCCAGTCTTGGCTCCAGGCAGCTCCTCCCTTCTCCCTGCATTTCTCCTGGTGTGAATTCCCCAGGACAGAATTCCCTCTGCTCTGGGTTTGCAGAGCAGGGCTTTGACCTGACACTTTGAATTCTCTGGTACTGCAATAATACAACCAACCAATAAAAACCTGTCACCCTTTTCTGTGAACAAGTGTGAGGACTGTCACATCAATGCGAAGAAGCTTTTATTGTTTGTTTGTTTTTCCTCTAGAAACTTCCATTTACTATCCCAGAGCTGGTGCAGGCATCTCCCTGTCGCAGTTCTGATGGGATCCTGTACATGGGTGAGCTCACATTTTATCTCCTTTAGACTGTAAGATGTTCAGTGACTACAAAATGTGGAGAATCCCAGACAGGAAAATAGGAAATAGGCTTTATTTTGGGTAGTAATTATGATTTTTCATAAGCCTTTCTGATGACAAAAAATCTGATTAATACAGAATTCAATTACTCTTTGAAGATTAAACCCAACTGCTTTTCCTGAAGGAGAAAACAGCTTTTCTAAGCAGTGAATAGCCTGTATGGGGTTTTTTGTTTGTTTTTGATGTGACTTCTGCTTAAAGTCTTTTTACAATAATAAATGACATTGACTGCCAGACAGTTAGAATTAAATAGAAATCCCGTTGCCACACAGTCAGACATCCTCCTTTATCTGAGGCACAGTCACTTCATTTGTGCTACAAATGATAACATTTTGGCTCTCTGCCCCGACTCATTTTAATTGCAGATGGATTTGGGAGGAGAAGAGGAGAAAGAAGGACAGTTATTACTTATCACAACAGTAAAATATGTGAAGATCAGGATGAATTTAGCATTGTTTTTGTGAAATCTCCTAAAGGCCCAGTATTACTTCTGCTTCTCCACTTTGGTGCCTTTCCAGTAAAGGAGTGAAAAATGTGTATTTGAAGCTTCTAAACATGTGTTGGTGTCAAAGACATTCTTAAGCTTGTGGGTGACGGATTCTTGCATGGGATGTTTGGTTACAATCCTTAATCAATCTGAAAGGTGACCCTCACTTTTTTTTTCCATTTACTGTCCTTCAATATGAGCCCTTCAGTCTCCTCTGTGAGCTCGTGGGATCTGCACTCAGAGCTCTCTTAGATTTTATCAGTGTGAAAAATCATTCAGCCAAGCACTTCCTGTTCTAAATGTTGTATTTGGGTTTTTTTTCACATTTGGGATTGACCAGTGATGAAGCTGAGCCTGACTATGAGAAACTGTTTTATTAAAAACACTTTATTTGTGCTAAGTTCATGAGGCTGCTAAAGAAAAAAGAAGACTGAAAAGCTGGATGGAAGTGCAGTTTTTCCAGCTGAATGGTAACATGGCTTAAATTATGATTTCAGGTAAAAAGCAGGATATTTGGTACGTGGTTGACCTCATGACTGGGGAGAAACAGCAGACCTTGACTTCCTCCTTCACAGAAAGTCTTTGCCCGTCAACATCCCTCCTGTATCTGGGCAGAACAGGTCATATGCTTTTTTTTCCTGTAGCTTATAAGAAAATTGTGTTTATTAATGTTTATGCTTATAACAAATGACCTGATGTTCAGGTTTTCAAGTTTATTTCTTAGGAAAGCTTCTGTAAATTATGATTTTAGACTGTACACAGAAGAATTGGTAATAGATGGAGCATATCCACTGACATTGCAAGTGTGTGAAGTAACTGTTGGAGTTACACCAACACCATGGAGGTGCTGACTGGGAAAAAGGAATAAGTGTTGCAGACTTGTTCTTTAACCCCTCTATCGGTGTGTTCCTTGAGTGGGATAGTGTTGGGAAAATGCAGTGAGAGAGCAGTGGGTGTGTGTGTGGTGACTGAGGAGTGGCTCAGATTTGAGGTGATTGATTCTGTTCTCTCATAGGTTTTTTTGCTTCACAGACTGTATATTTTTTAACAGAGTACACCATCACCATGTACGACACCAAGAAGAAGGAGCTGCGATGGAATGCCACCTATTTTGACTATGCAGCTACTCTGCCTGATGAAGACATAAAATACAGTAAGAATTTGATTGCTGTCTCCCCCTGCACTGGGGTTTTGTGTATAGGCAGAAATATTCTGATTTTTTCTGTAGTTAACTGGTGAGACTGTCTGTCTGATTTCTGTGCAGTTCATCTTCTGCCAGTTTTTATCCTTCACATACTGCAATATCTCACCCCTGTTAGGTAGCTCCAGGTTAAGTGAATCTAAGAAGGTGCAGCTCTTGAAGGTGTTTCCTTAAAATGTAGTGAGAAATGGCAGAAGAGGCAGCAGGGCTGAGCTGTGCTGCACCTGACTGCCGGGAGCACCGGAGCGCAGTGCTCTGGGACGGCAGCTGAGCTGGTATCGGCCCCCTCTGACAAATGCTCTCTGATGAGCTGCTCTGCCAGGAAAGGTTCCTGTTAACTGAGGCATAACTGTTCTGTGTTGTTGAAGCTGCAGCAGTCCAGGTGCCCTGTGTGTGTGTGTTGCAGAGATGTCCCACTTCGTGTCCAACGGGGACGGGCTGGTGGTGACGGTGGACAGCGAGTCCGGGGACGTGCTGTGGATCCAGAACTACGGCTCCCCCGTGGTGGCCTTTTACATCTGGCAGAGGGAGGGGCTGAGGAAGGTCCTGCACACCAACGTGGGCATCGAGACCCTGCGCTACCTGACCTTCATGTCCGGGGAGGTGGGACACATCACCAAGTGGAAATACCCCTTCCCAAAGGAAACGGAGACCAAGAGCAAGCTGACGTGAGTGTGGATTTCCTGTTGTTCTCACTGGCCACGTGTCACTAAAACCTTGTCTACACACAAGTCAAGGGTTGTGCTCCAAGTTGCAACACAGTGAAAAGAATACATAAAATCAGCTCTAGTTCTCCAGCTGCTATGTCATATAATACTTGATGTGTTACTGTATAAAGTCTGAGACCAAACCAAAAAACTTATCAGAAACTTAGGTTATACACACATAAGTGTATATTCCTAAGTTTTATCAGATGTTCTCTGTTGAGTAGTTTCTCATAATGCAGAATTAAATTGTTTTTCCTAACGTGAAGCCTTTGACATTATAAAAATGGTGCACAGTGTTTTGGGAAATGCCAGTTATTGAAAAATACAGAACTAGGACATGAGTTACATCAAATGAGTAAGTGCTGGGAGTGATGAACTAACAATGCTTTCATAATTAGAAAGAATGCCTTCATAGTTCAGCAATACCTCCAACAGTTATACAGATCCTGGCTTTCAGGACAACAAATCCTGATGATTTGGGAAAGTCATGCACTTGTTCTGCAGGATTGTGCTGCCCAGGTTTTAGCTAAGATGGTAAAACATCCGTTTGCCTGTTGCTAACCCTGCCTGTCTCTCCCCAGCCCAACCCTGTACGTGGGGAAATACTCCACCAGCCTGTACGCGTCGCCCTCCATGGTGCACGAGGGGGTCACTGTCGTGGTGAGTTGGGTGGGCTTGAAAAAAGGGTTGAAATGGAAACACACATAAAAACATATTAAACTAAAAAGGAAAATAAAACACTGAACATTGTACATCTACAGAAATGTGGGGTTATTGCAGATTGCTATCGAGAAATGCATAGCAAATTCAGTGTGTCCTGAAACAATTGTCAGTGAGCCTGAGGACACATGGCCATGCTTCAGGAATCATTTCAATGCTACAGAGCAGGAACTGCAGCTCCTCAGGAGCTGTGCCAGGCAGGCTCAGCAGGAGAGGACCTGAGGTTACTGCTCTTGGTGGTGCTCTGTGGTTCATGTTAAAATCGCTGATTTGTTCATCAAAGTGACTCCCCACAGAGAGGAAACTGCATCATAGTTTTGTTTTTCTCACTGTGGCTGAAGAGGTAGGAAATACAGATCCTGTTTAGGAAAAAAAATAGGGGGAGTAATCTCATCTCCCAGGCAACATATCCCTGAGGAGGTCCAATGTCCAAGGCTGTGGAAGCAGCTGCTGAGGGCAGAGTGGCCGTGTTTGCTCACGGTGACGGTGCTGCCAGTAATCTCTGCCTGCCCCCCCATTTGACCTCCATTTTTTTATTTTGCTGCCTATTTAAATAGTCCAAGGTCACAGGAGCAATAACTGTAATCATAATTTCTCCCCAGCCCCGAGGCAGTGCCATACCCCTGCTGGAGGGGCCAAAAACAGAGGGAGTCACCATCGAGGACAAGGGCGAGTGTGTCATCACCCCCAGCACGGATGTGAAGTTCTCAGGGAGGCTGAAGGACAAGCACAAGCTCAACTACTGGAACGACTGGCTGTTGATAGGTGTGGGAGGCCCTGCCTGGCCTTAATTACCCAGTTCTAGCCATAGTTTCTAATTCATCCTCATTTGCATATGAATTAATGTGTTTAAGTATCCACTGGACACTGGTTTTCCCAAGGCTCCTGTGACTCAGTGACAGGGTGAAGAGGGCTTAGCTCCGTGTGTGGAAAGTTGTTTGTTGTTTGTTTGTCCCCTCCCTCAGAGAGGGGCACAGGTTATTTATTATGTACTGTAAATACTGTATTCTTAATTTCATTCTCACCATATGGATCAGATGGTCATGTGTTCCCCATTTTATAAATGGATTAAAACACAGAAGCTGAAGAATATTAAGTCTCAACCTGTCCTGTAAATCCCAAATCTCCAAATTTTGGAATTGACTTTTCATGGTATTTATAGTTTTGCTTCCAAAATGAGGAACTGTCTGAAGTTCAGTTTTTAGTGATGCCTACATGATGTAGGAGCTCTGCTCAGTGTGCAGCTTTCAGGTTCTTTAAGTGCCACCTTTCTTTTCCCATGATCCCTTTCCTTGTTAATACTCTCACTCCTGCAGCACAACAGACACTTCCTTAGTTTGTATTCCTGTGCAGCCCTCTGTGCTGAGGGACCTCTGCCCTCCATTTTCCCTTTTCCTCTCCTGCATCTTATTTTGTGGTGTTCTGAAGCCTTTTGTAAATCAGCTTTATATCTGCTCTTCAGCAAAGATGTTGAAATCAAGGATATCTTTCCTAAAAAAAGGACAACTTTCTATTTCAACAAATGTATTTTATTTAAAGGGCACCATGAAACACCATTATCTGCCCCTACAAAGATCCTGGAGAAATTCCCAAGCAACTTACCTAAGAGGCCTGAAAACGTGATTCCAGCTGACTCTGAGAAAGCCACTATTGAAGAGGTTTGTGATTAATAATTATATGAGAATAATATATTATATATATGTGACAATAAGATAATATATAATAACTATATGAGAATAATTATCTTACTGGGTGGTAAAAGAATATAAAGGAGTAGAAGTTGGGGAAGGACATGGAAAGGAAGATGCATGGAATTACTTCACATTTTTTGTGTCAGATTTCCATGTCCTCAGCACACAGAATCACTGGTGTATGCTGTGTCATTCCTTATTTCACAATTAATGCTTTCAGCTGCTTTTTTTTCCCCCACATGCAGGGGTGACTTCACTTTGACTTTGGCAGGTTTAGAAATGACTAAAAATGATGTGGCAGAAAGGCCGGATGTACTGAGCTAACAGAGCTTTCTCGGCCTCAGGTCATTGGCATTGTGGAAGGTTCCTCCACAGAAGGGCCTCCTGCTGCCCCACAGGACATCGAGGAGGCTCCTGCCCGGCCCCTCCCGCGGCCGGAGGCTCCGGTGGACTCCATGCTGAAGGACATGGCCACCATCATCCTCAGCACCTTCCTGCTCGTGGGCTGGGTGGCTTTTATCATCACCTACCCCATGGTAATGCTGACCTGGCTTCCTGTGCTTTTGGGTGGGGGGAGAGTCGGTAACACTGGACAGCCGAGAAATGATACAGGAGTTAGTTACCCACTCCAGGGATTTTCCCTCCTCACAGATGTGCACTGGGGAGCAAAGGCTACAAATCTGACTTAACAGTGATTTCTTTGAGCCAACTCTGGAGAGCTTTCTTCTTTCATCTACCAGTTGTGGTTCTTGTAGGTGTTACTCTTTTTAGATAAGATCTTAACACCATTTGCTTCACTCCTCTCTTCCTCACCTGAACCACTGTCAGGTTTTCCAGGTTTTGGATCCAAGCCTTTATCCTTATGTGGTTTAAAGACACCTGGCCAACCTAGTAGCAGCTTTTGCCATAATAACCAACCCCTGGGATTTCTCAGCTTGGCAGTGGAAGTTCAGAATGAAATTGAAACCCTGTGTGAATGTTCCCCAGCCTGCAGGGCTGGCAGGGACATGGCAGGAGAGTTTTGCTCCCACCTTTCAGATGCAGCTCCCCAGTAGCTGTAGGGCTCCCCTGTGTGACCTGACTGTGCAGTCTTCACTGAGGTCTCTCTCACAGAGTGTCCATCAGCAGCAGCAGAGGCAGCATCAGCTGGAGGAGAAGATCCAGCTCTTGCAGCAGCAGAAGCTGCCCTTTGGTGCCCCCAGTGACCTCCCCCCCGAGGCGGATTTCCTGGACACATCGTACGGGCGCACGGAGAGCTCAGCTGGCAGCACCCCAAACCTGTCCCCACGGGCCTCCAACCACTCTGCCTATTCCAGCATCTCCACATCCGACGGCGGGAGCTGCCTCTCCACTGAGCAAGAGGAGGGAGGTAAGGCTGACCCAGCGGGGTTTATTGTGTCTGTTTTCCCCAGTCTGTGCTGATACACTGAAGTAGTTACTGATGATATTTTGTAGCTCAGCAAATGAAAAGACCCATCCTCCTCACCCAGCCTGACCCTCTGCACACCCCAGGGCACTGACCCTCTGCAGGATTATTTGCATTGCACAAATAGCTGAGAGGTTGTGCTGCCCATGGCAGTGTGTGTTCCTATAACCTGTAGCCATTCCAGGGAGAGGGGCATTTAAATAAAAACACATATTATGGTGATTAACTGGAATCAAGGACTAAGGATTGCACACACTGCCTGTCTTCCTGCCTGGTCTGCCTGTGCACTCACTTGTCCCCTCAAAGGCTGTTCAGGGGAACTGCTACTAAACCCACTTCCATAACTGTCAGTCAGCATTTCCTAAATTCAACATCTATAAATTTTTACAAAGAGCTTGGCTGCTGAGAACCACTCATCTCTCACTGCCCTGAGCCATCATCTTTGCAGACCCTCTGTCAGGTGTTTTGTGTGTGTTTTGACTCTCAGTGTTGGATCATTTGGTCAACAGAGTATTTCCCTCCTCAGGGTGAGTGCCAGTGTGGAGATGCTCATTTGCTTTCATCATCTGTGTGTTAAATTTAAACATGAGCAAAGAGACTTTTCTAGACTGGCCCCAAAGGCTGTGCAGTTGTAAAAAAAAAAAAACAAACAAACAAAAAAAACTTGCCCCATCCTAAACCAGTCCTTGTTCCTCTTTTCTTGTTCAGATGAAGATGCAAACCGAGTGATGGTTGGCAAGATTTCCTTTAACCCCAAAGATGTACTGGGACACGGAGCTGAAGGGACAATTGTTTACAGGTAGAAGAGAATGTGTGCATTGAACAGACCAATGAATGTTGTGTTTGCATTAGGCCCGTTTAATTTATTTTTATAAATGCCCTCACATACCTAATGTGAGCAGAAGTGAAACTTTCTGCATGTGTCTGGAGTATTTTCATGCATTTTCTTCAGCAGCAAAAACTTTTACTGTACTTCCCTAAGAAGTGTTTAGTGCCCAGATGTCCCTGATTCCTCTGGCCACGCTTTGTGCACAGTGTGAAGGTTGCTGTGGTTTGCCTCGCTGCCTGCAGGGGCACCTTTGACAACCGGGATGTGGCAGTGAAGAGGATCCTCCCCGAGTGCTTCAGCTTCGCAGACCGGGAGGTGCAGCTGCTGCGGGAGTCGGACGAGCACCCGAACGTGATCCGGTACTTCTGCACGGAGCGGGACCGGCAGTTCCAGTACATCGCCATCGAGCTCTGCGCGGCCACGCTGCAGGAGGTGACACGGGGAACTGCTCCTGCAAGGCCCTCACTGCCCTCCAGCTTCAGCTGCTGAAGTGCCTGACACAGGGATGTTCCAGTTACTGCCACTGTCACCTCTGTGACAATTCCACATTCCTGGGACAGGGGTGTTTTCAGACCATCAGGAAGACACCCCTAACCCTGGACTGATTTAAGGACAGACACTGCTGTCTTTTGATTTTTTTTTCTAGTCATTCTCCCCCTCCTACCACCCAGACTTTTGAAAGCTCTCTGCCCTTGTTGGTGGAGCACAGTGCTCTACAGAATTCTAGCCCTGAATGACGCTTAGAGATCAGCACCTTCAGCCAAAAAAAAGCTCTTTTCCCTGTGTTATCAGCTGGCACAACGTACCCAGTTGAACCTTTCGGGGGGGGGTGAAGTGCATGGATTTACCATTTATGCAGCTGCTGAGCAGTGTTGGGGCTGACTCTGCTTGTTCTCTGTTGCAGTACGTGGAGCAAAAGGCCTTCAGCCACCATGGCTTACAGCCCATCACTGTCCTGCAGCAGACAACGTCTGGGCTGGCGTACCTGCACTCCCTGAGCATCGGTGAGAGCCTCTCCTGGCAGGGCTGCATGAGGGGGACGTTCTCTGCACTGGAAAAAGAAGAGAAACTGCTCTGGTTCTGGTCTGCCCACCTGGCCTAGTGGAAGGTGGCCCTGCCCGTGGCAGAGGGGTTGAAATGAGATGCTCTTTAAAGGTCCTTTGAAACCCAAACCATTCTGTGATTTGACGCCAGCCTTGTCCCTGTAACATTCTGCTGCCCTGGAGCACTAAAGCTAGTCCTTACTGTTAGTGCAGGGTGCTGCATTTCTTGGATAGAAGTCATATAGAACATGAGGAGTAGTGGTGATGGAATAAAAAAGTGATGACAATCCTTTGAAGTCAGCACTTCGGTTTAACAAGCCAAAGTTCAGCCCTGGGAAAGGTTCACTGAAAGAGATGCAAATATTGGGAGTACCTGAGTGGTAAATGGGTGTTTGTAACAGTCCACAGGGACCTGAAGCCCCACAACATCCTGATCTCGATGCCCAATGCCCACGGGAAGGTCAAGGCCATGATTTCAGACTTCGGGCTGTGCAAGAAGCTGGCGGTGGGTCGGCACAGCTTCAGCCGCCGCTCGGGTGTACCAGGCACCGAGGGCTGGATTGCCCCAGAGATGCTGAGTGAGGACTGCAAAGAGAACCCTGTAAGTCCTCACCCTTCCCCAGGAGCAGCCCAGACCCTGCAATGCACAGGACTTGGTGCCTGGGCCTTCAGGCTCCCTTGCAGCTTCAGTGTGCCATTCTGGAAATTTCCTTCTGCTCCAAGATGCAAAATAACCACCCTGTGATGATCAGAGTCTTCAGGGGGAAAAATATGTCCTTGCTCTTAAAGGTTGTTTCTTTGCAGACCTACACCGTGGACATCTTCTCAGCTGGCTGTGTCTTCTATTACGTGGTGTCAGAAGGTGGCCACCCCTTTGGCAAGTCCCTGCAGCGGCAAGCCAACATCCTGCTGGGAGCATACAGCCTGGAGGCCCTGGATGCAGGGAGACATGGTAAGGACACACCACAGAGATCAGGGAGCATCCCACGGTGTTAAGTGCCAACAGAAATGACAGAAATATGGCCCGCAGGATTCCCAGCCTGGCAGCAGTGACAGTTGTACTCCTCAGGTACTCCTGAAGTAAAGGGCCTAAAGGTCTCAGTTACAGTACCCCACAGCATCTCTGGGGTACACATTTGGAACCCTGTGAAGTTATTTCCTGTAGTTAAAGGGTAGGACAGAGCTGCACTGTGATATTCTTAGTCTCTGAGTCAACCCTTCTGCCTTCCCGCTGTTGCCCAGCATGTCTCTGAGGGCACACCTGAGCTAGCAGGGCAGGAGGAAGTAGAGACCATGATGAATTTGTGAAGTTCAAAATACTGTAAAAGTACAAAATGCTACATTTCCCCGCAGCCTAAGAGTGTAGGAAAAATGAAATAAAACAAAAGAAGTACCATAAATTTCCCTGCACCCTTTTCCTTGCAGAAGACGTAGTTGCTCGTGATTTAATTGAGCAGATGATAAACATGGACCCTCAGAAACGGCCGTCTGCCAGCTGTGTGCTGAAACACCCCTTCTTCTGGAGTTTAGAGAAACAGCTCCAGTTCTTTCAGGTTTGTGGTGACCTTTTCTCTCCTTGAGTTCTCAGGACTCCTGCAGACTTTGTTCAAGACTTGAATTCAGAAGCCACAGCCTTTCTGTGAGGAGTGAAGAGCCAAGTTGTAATACCTGGGAGTAGCTCCTAAGGAATTGGCTTAGTCACAGAGTCAAGGAGGTTGGAAAAGACCTTTGAGATCGAGTCCAACCTTTGACCCAGTACCACCTTGTCTAGGAGGCCAAAACACGCCCTTGCTGTGAGGAAGGTCTCCAGCAGTACAGGACTGAGAACATGGCCAGGGGGGTTTCAGGAACAGCAGTGAATATGCAGTAAGTCCTGATCTGGGGTGGGAACTGGCTGAAGACCTGAGGCTTTATCTCCTCTGTGCTAAAAAGGCTTTGGCAGATGGTGAAACAAATCATCTCAGAAACTTCTGCATCCTATTCCCAAGCACTGTCAAGGAGTGAAGTGTAATTCTAACTTCATTACCAGGATAGGCTGTAATTGGCCAGAAGCAGCAATTTGAAATTGTTGGGAAAAACTCAGAAATAAAACTAGAAATAACCTGACTGTCTCCTCCAGGATGTCAGTGACCGGATAGAGAAAGAATCTTTAGATGGTCCAATAGTCAAGCAATTAGAAAGAGGTGGAAGAGAAGTGGTGAAAATGGACTGGAGAGAGCACATCACTGTTCCTCTTCAGACAGGTAATGGGCAGTGTTTTAATGAGGGGAAGGGAGTTAGATGTTGTTCCCAGTTTGCTGGGACAGGAAAGTAAGGATAACAGTCTCTGTTTTGGCACATGACCTTTACTTGTCAGTAAAGTATTTCTTCAAACTCAAGTCCATGTTTATGTACTGAAACACCCCTACAAGGATCTGTGGTGTGGGGACACACCCCAGCAGCTAAAACTGCATCACAACACAAGAAGAAATCGTGTCATTTCTCTTGCAGATCTTCGAAAATTCAGATCCTATAAGGGAGGCTCAGTACGGGACCTTCTGAGGGCCATGAGAAATAAGGTAAAGGACTCCTTTCCCTCAGCACCACACCCCCCCCGCTTGGTGCCAGCCTGTGCCATCCCTTGGTTTAGGCACTGAGCTCCTTCACGACAGAATAGGTTTCCTTGTCCAGGAAGACCAACAGCTCTATTTACAACAGGCTCCTTGTACATGAACTGAGCTTTCCCATCTTCTCTTTTCCTCCCCAGAAGCACCATTACAGGGAACTGCCTCCCGAAGTGCAGGAGACCCTGGGCTCCATCCCAGAGGACTTTGTGTGTTACTTCACAGCTCGGTTCCCTCGCCTGCTCCTGCACACCTACCACGCCATGCACATCTGCTGCCAGGAGAGACTGTTCCAGCATTACTACCCCGAGGACTCTGCAGCGCTCAGCCTTGCAGGAGACACTGTTTGAGGACAGGGATGGAGCTTTCTTCTCTGGGACCAACATTCCAAGCACAGGCCTACCTTTAGCAGGGAAAAGTGGGATCAAAGAGCTGAATTCTCTCTCTTTGAAGAAACCAAGCTTCCAAAAAGTGCCTTGTCCCTCTGCCTGCGCTGGATCAGGAGGTGGTGGGAGCCCAAGGAGCGAGAGGTAAAGCGGGGAACCCTGGGGATGGAGTCGTACTCCAGGGCAGTGTTCAAGACTGTGGAAGTGGAGAGCAAAAGCTGGATAAAACCATCACCCAACATCCCTGTACTGTGTGTGATTTTGTAACTGATGTGTTTTTCTACAAAAAAAAAATCAAATCAAAATACAGCGATTGAAATCATAATTACCGAGGACTGGGAACTGCAAAAGGAGCCCTTTGGTTGTAGCAAATCATCCAAACCTGCCATTGCACTGCTGCCCCGTGAGGTATTGGGCACACCAGTGATTGCAAAGGGAATCATCGCTCATTATCCAAAACCAGTAGGAAAGAACCACTGCTGGTTAATCTGTACTGCCCCAGAAAATTAGTCCCTTGTACTTAAGCAGATACAACGAACTTCTAAAAAATACTGACTTGAAAAATCAGTTCAAGGTTTACCTTCTTTGAAAACAAGCCTCACTGTTTAATATCAACCAGTATTCACAGAAGAGCTTGACCAGCCCTCGACTTAAATCACAGGGTCAGAACAGCTCTGCACAAGCCAGTGCAGGAAGCACAGCCCTGGCAGCCCAGAGCTGCTCGTGGTTCATCAGCTGTCCCTCAGCAGCAGGAAAACGCTGCCGAAACGGAGCCAGAGGTGAGAGAGTCCTGGGGAAAAGGAGCTAAAGAGGAAACAAGGAGAGCTGTCAGGAGCAGAGAAACCAGGGCAGTGTTCAAGGGGTGCCTTGGAGCTGTTTGTGTGGGCTGGGGATTCCATGCCTGGCAGCCTGGGTGTGTAAGGATGCAGTATTTCTTTTCACTGGCCCTGAAGTTGTGACAAAGCATCGTGTGTGCAAAGGATGAAGAAATGCTGAGTTCTGTAATGTAACTGGGGTGTTCTTTTACTATGTATTTATTTAAGGTATTTATATTTATTTAATTTTTACTACAAAGTGGTATCAAATCCAAGTGGCACAGCTATGAAACATGCCAAATCAGTCTTAATCGGGTTTGTGTTTGTATTTAATCACCTCATAGCAACTGGAAGAGGAAAGTGATACTGCATCTTTCAATGAACTAATTAAAGGAGAAATTATATAGAGTGGGAGTTTGTATGACTGTGCCATTGTGTCTTAAACTAATAAATTATTGCCAGTAATGTGTATGATTGGGTGCATACAGCTACTTTAAAGGAAGCTTTTTTCCTTGTTTTATAATGTATGAGAGCGATTTACCTAAGATGCCAAACTGTGCAGGTTACATGTTTCTAAAGCTTGAAAAAAAATAATGGTAATTTTACCTAAGATTCAAAGCCTATTTCATATTTTTGTACTTCTCATGTAAAGTTCTTTTATAAATCTACTAAATAAAGACTTGTACTCAGATTAAAACCCCACAGCTCTTAGTGACAACATGTGTCTGGGGTCTGCTGCCAGAACTGGGCTGGGGGCAGTGAGCAGGGAAGAGGCTCCTGCCTGAGCAGCCTGTCCTGCCTCCCTGGAAAAGAGGCACGTGCCTGGTTTGTGAGCCTGCTCGAACCACTGCCTGCCTGCTAATCCCAGATGGGGCTCCAGTGCAGGAACCACACCGAGCTGCTGGGGTGGGTGAGCACTGAGCCTCCTGGAGGGCCCGGGCACCTCACTGTGTTACTGTGACAGGCCCCAGGCACCATCCAGGCTCCCAACCTCCTGGAGGCTGAGGCAGGTGAGCAGGTAAGATAAAATGGCTGCAAGAATTTGTGCTGCTGTGCAGTCCAGAGATAGGCATAAATTAATTTTTCTGGTGCAACTGAGCTGGTAACTGATCACGTGCTTTCCAGGAAGAAAAAAGCTGGCAAGACAACGTTGTCTACCACACACACCCTGACACGTACATGGCAGTGGGGCTCAGCTTACTTTGCAAAGGTAGTACCACCCAGTAGCACCACCCTGCTCAGAACGGGGTGGAGATTTGGTGGCTTATCAGACTTTCTCAAAAGTAGTTCCTTTTTTTATTCCTGGCAATCAAACCTACAGGAGCCCTGCAGAACACACACAGTGCTGGAACTGCTGCCCGTGCAGTTGAGACAGGCCCCCCGAGCCTGACACTACAGCTTGGAGCACCTTCCCTCCCTCCTGTGGAAAAGCCTTTCCTTGCAGGCAGGACAGCGCTGGAGACATCCCGTTACCCGCGGGCTCTGCCAGGTAAGCCTCCAGCCCTCCCTGTGCCCAGGGGTCCTGCGGGGGATGGGGGTAACCTGGCGGGTTACCTTCCCGGGAGCAGGCTTTAGGAAAAGCAAGGCTGTCCCTCCAGTGCCCCCAGCCCAGCTCTGCCCCCGACATCCCGCAGGGGTAAGAGCTGCTCGGCAGCACCAAGTGGGACTGTCAGAGCAGCTCAGGGAGGTGGGCACAGACCCCTCTGCCCCCCGACACCTGCAGCTACATCCCCTCCCTGCCCACCCAAGCCCCGCTGGAGCACACATGGGCTGCAGGGACCACGAATCCACCGCCGCCCTCGGCTGCTCTTAAGCCCGGGGTGGGGGTCAGGGGCCCGCGGGCCCCTCCGGCCGCGCTCCCGCAGCCCTGCCCCCCCTCCACTCCAGTTTCGATTCCCCGACAAGTTTCGTTTTCGATCCTTGACGTCGTTGTCACAGTGTCGCTGTGGCACAGAGACAGGCAGGGGAAGGGGGGGAGGATTCACCACAAGCCCCGCCCCGGGTGGTGACCAGAGGAACTAAAAGACCCGTAGTTCAGGGACACTTTTTGCCCTCTTTCTCGGGGAAGGCTGCACCAAGTATCAATGGAAATGTCTCCCACCATTTTCCCAACCAGCCTGTTCACGCTGACTGCGAGGGATCCCCTCACACCCACAGCACACCAGGGCAGTCCAGTAACAGCCTCCCCTCAGAGCCACCCGCCCTCATCAGAGCCTCTGCAGGGCTGACCAGGTGCTGACAGGCTAAGTGCGACTCTTTTCTAGCATCCCTTATTCTACCATCCCTTATTCTACCAGACCCAAACCAGCACCTTCTGCCGCACTCACCTCGTGCCAGGCCGCGGTCCCAGGTTCCCTCAGTTACACCTCTGCAGACGAGTGTTGCTTGCACAGCACCGTGCACTGCCTTTGTGCTGCTCCTGCTGCCCCTCCAGAGCTGTGAGTGGCACTGCTGTGAGCTGCAGGCAGGGAGCTGGCACAGCTCCTGCACCCGCTGAGCCAGCAGAGCTGAGGATTCACACTGTGAGGGAAGGAACACCACCACCACCACCCACCCGTCGCTGTGACCTGTGCTCGCTGGGTGGCTGTGGCTGATGTGTCAATGTCCCATGCTGGGATGCTGAGCAGGTGTATTTATCCCATTCCTCCGGCAGTACAGAGCCAGCTGTCCCTGCTGTCCCTCTCTGAACCCCTGGCAATGGATGTGAAGTCTCGGGCGAGGACACCGCGCTGAACAGAAACCCTTCTGCTGGGTCAGGCACTGAGCTGAACTGCTTCATGGAAGTTTTGGTGAGCATCAGAAATGTGGAAAAAAGAGGGAGAGGGGAAGACTGTACCCGGAAAAAAGAGAGTATGAGGGAAAAAAAGGTAGGGAAGGGGAGAGTGAGAAAAAGCGCTAGAAAGCAAGGGATGGAACCTGGGGGATGCAGTGGGGATGGGCCTCCTCTTTTCCAGTATCCAACAGAAGGAGCTGTCAGAAGGGCTCAGCTGGCAGCACAAGTTTCTCCAGCAGTCCCCATTTCTTTCACACCCACGTGTGTCAGGAGCACCAACAGCTGCCTTCCCACAGAACAGCTGTACAGAGGCAGCACAGCTGGTAAGGCCAGGCTTCCAGAAATACTGAAATTACCTGGGACCAAAAAGGAGGGGAGAAGACTGGGAGAACACCAAAGTCAGCTTGAACTAACACAGGAATGTTAACTGTAAATCTGAAGACAGTTATTTTTTCCCTCTCTAGGGTTTTGTGCATTAACAGCAGGATTTCCCTCACCCAAGACAATGGGTAAGTATTGCTTTCAGAAAAATTTGTACTTTATATGTAGCTATTTGTTTTTTAATATCTGCATTTTAAGGATTCATCTCTAGTGGGGAACTAATCAGTACTCTTAACATCATCTTAGGGTTTGTACTGATGCTACCTTCCTTTAACAGAAAATAATCAGCCTCAAGTGGGTAAATGATCTGCCCAAACCTCTCCAGTTAGACAATCCAGCCCTGCCAGTTCCCATAACCTTATCACATCATTCCTTCCCTGCAAAACATTTGGGTTATTTCCATGACTCCCCATCAGGATCACTTCCAAACCTCCTTCATAGTTTCCTGCTTTGCTGATTTATTAGTCTTGTACCATTGCCTAGGACTGCTTCTGATTAAGGTTAAGGATACTTTGTCATCAGAGCTGACAATCTTGAGAAGTTGAGACGTGCTCTCTCACTGTGACTGGTAGAAAGAAAACAATCTAGCATTCAGTGTGGCCAGTTCTGCCTTGTCAAGCACCTTGACATGTTTTTAGTTTATATTTCTAATACATAATTTCAACTTCTAGATTACCAAACATTACCTGTGAATGACTGGGATGAGAACCATGTCAAATGCTGGCTGGAATCTACTGGAATCAAGAAAGAGTATGTAGAAAAACTATACACAGAGGAAGTGACAGGTCCAGCACTAATGGAACTGGATGAGTCCTTCCTCAAAGACATGGGTATGAAGGGAGGCCAAATCCAGATCTTAATCCGCAAGAGAAACGAACTTAGGCAGCTCCAGAACAATGCCCAGCAAGCCAAGAATTCCAGCAGCAAAGTGCTGGACAGAAGGGAGGCACAAACAGCCCCTGTGACTCCCAGCACTGCCCCTGCTCAGAGCACGGCTGGGGGAGGCAGCTCTGGGGCCACGGGAACAACCGGCACTGACAACACAGCTCCTGCCTCCAGCAAGAGGCAAAGGAGGCGTGACAAGGCCCAGCTTCAAAGCCCTGAAGAGGTCCTGGAGCTCAGAAACTGCCGACCCTTTAGAAGTCAGGATGCTGACTTCAAGTACGTGAAAGACACAGTTCTTGCTCCAGAATCAGGAGTCACTGATTTAATCATTCCTTGCCATGAATACAAATCTTTGGCCACTGCTGCAGAACTGAGCAAAGAGCAACTGCAATCAAAGTTTGCCTCTGAAGTGATCAGATTTGGTTCAGCCTGCATGAACATTCGAACAAACGGCACCATCCATTTTGGTGTCATGGACAGTGTTGAGGACAAGGGTTGGAAACACGGACAGATCGTTGGCATAAAGATCAAAAAGCGAGAAGACTATGTTGATGCACTGGATTTATATATAGAAAAATGCTTTTGTGATAATTTACAGGAAACTGCAAGGAAATGCATTCATCCACCTGTTTTTGTTGAAGTGATTTCAAAAGACCCTCAGGAACAAAGGTTTGTGGTGGAGGTTGACATTGAACCAGCATACACCTTAGTATAGAAGAGGTGTTTTGAAGTGTGTTTGCCAAAATACAACGAAAGCAGCCACAAGGTGATCCTGACCAAAGAGCCAGCTCTCTACCAGAGAGTAGGAGCCAAGTCTGAACCTGTGCAGCGCAACAAACTCACTGCCTTTATTCAGGCCGTGCCAGACAGGGATGCTCAGAGAGAAAAAGCTGAGCTCTCTAGCACACAAATGCACACAGAAATACCTCAAGATTTAGGAAGAAAGTTATCAATTCTATTAAACGATGGCAAAAGCTACATGGATGATTCCCTGCGGTACATCCTTGTCACAAACAGATGTGAGCAGGATAATCTGAACTATATCAACTTTCTAATGCACCTGAACATTTTCTGTGTCTTTGACTTCGATGAGCATTCCAATGTGTCAGGGCTGTGCAGCAAGTACAAAGAGCACCATGAAGCAAGTTCTTATTTTTTACAGGATTTTTTCAATGAAATTAAGACTGATACCCCTCCCTCTCAGAAACTGTTTGATCAGACCAGCTGGATATTCTGCAATGGGCGCAGTGACTTCCTCGGGGATGAAAAACCTTGTGATGAAAACACATGGATTAGAACGAAAAAAAAATACCTTAAGAAAGTAATTACTTGTATCTGTGAGGAAATCCTGCCACAGAGGTCTTTCATTGTGCTTTTCCTATTGCTATCACCAGTGCAAAAACCACTTGTGGACACTTTTCAGGAATTCTATACAGAGATGAATGGCATGGAGTACATCATTTGCATTGCAGAGTCCAGAGAAAATTATGGAAGGTGGGCTAATCTGGCTCAGGCATCCTGCAGCATTGAGACACTGGAACAACGCAGCGTTGTGGGCATGAAACTCAGTCACATCGATGCCACTGTCCAGGCAATGCTGCCTTCCACAGCTCAGCCCAGACACCTGCCCGTGTCCACTGGAGGGGTGTGTATACTCCCCTTGAGGGAAGAAGAGAAACTCTACTCCCTTGAAATCCTTTGTGCTGACCAATGTGATGATATCAAACCAAACCACTGGACTGAAAAACAAATACAAGAAATAGAACAAAATTTTTACCGAGGGAGAAAAATCATCTGGGAAAACTTGTGGCTTGCTGATAAAAGGCTCTGTGGGGACATCATTGAACGGGAAGCATGCAAGGACGCCAGCAAACTCCTGGACGGCATTTTACGAGGCAGTGTCCTGAACTACCCTGTGGCCAAACTAAAGATATTTCACCACCCTGGAAGCGGTGGAAGCACAATAGCACGGCAAGTTCTGTGGAAAAGCAGAAAGCACTTCAGATGTGCTGTTATCAAGACCTCATATCCACCTTCAACTGTTTGTAACCATGTGCTTGCACTTAAAGATTATGAAGAAAGAGAAATCACTCACTGTTTTCCTGTGCTCCTCCTGATTGAAGATTACGATGATGAGTACTTTGAAGAACTACAGACTGTGTTACTGGAGGCTGCAGCAACCAGGAAAATGAACACTCCCAGACCTTACTTCATCCTCATATGCTGCAGACGATGCAATGACCCTGAAAGTCTCTGCAAGGCTTCTCCACTGGACACAGTCGCTGTCACTCACAAGCTGACAGAGTCAGAGAAAAGTCTGTTCAACATCAAACTTGAGAAACTGAAGCAGAAAGATGTCAAGCCAGAATTCATACTTACATTTGTCCTGATGTGTGAGGAGTTCAACGCCACGTACGTGTCAGACTTGGTAGCACACACACTGCATGGCATAGACCTTCACTCTCGGGACACCTGCCTGATGCGTTACGTGGCTTTGCTCAATTGTTATGTACCCAATTCCTATGTTTCCCTGTCACACTGTGAGGCCTTTCTGGGACTGGGGGCATATACAGAGAGTACATCAAGAGTATATGATTTCAAACATCGCTTGAGTGAACAAGCGAGAATGATTTTTATCGAGCTGAGGGAAAGTACCAGTTATATTTCATCTGTTCGGATAATACACTGCCTGGTTGCAAAAGAAATTCTCCATCAGCTTTCAGGAAATGAATCTCAAAGTCAACTTGCAATGAATCTTATCCAGGAAAAGACACTGTTTGAAAACAGATTTGGACGAGAAGAATTCGTAAAGTTTATCAAACATCTCTTTATTCGACGAGATAAAAGAAGCAGGGGTGACAACACCGACACGCTCTTCTCCCCATTCATTGAACACGTCTGCGAAGCTGAAGATTGTGAAAAAGCTATTGCTGTTTTAAAAGCTGCATATGAACTCCTTGGAAAAGATCCTTTTTTTGCCCAGCAGCTTGCCAGGCTAAATTACACCAATGAAAAATTTGAAGACGCAAAACATTGGGCAGAGGTTGCAAAAGGTCATTTGCCAGATGATTCTTTTATTTTAGATACAGAAGGTCAAGTCTACAGGAAATGGTTTAGTTTCACTGTGGATAAAATGACAGAGGAGGACACTCCTGAAATGGTCATTAAGAAGATAGAGATTGCTCTTAAAGCTATGAAATGCTTCAGGGCTGCACAACAGGCTGCAAAAGCAGAACGTGAAATTATGAACAACGCTGGCTTTCATGGAGAAGTAGAAGTAGGTTGCCGACTCCTCCGGTTCCTGTCCACAGTCCCTGTATTCCGCAGAAGTCCAGAGGGGGAATACACTGAGCTTGTGAAATACCTCACCACAGATTACATTCCTGAAGAGATAAAAAGAACATGGGGGAGGCTTCACTCCCGCCTGAAGGGCTTGCGCCAGAACCTGTACAATGCTCTGGAATGGATCTCAGAAGAACTAAGTTATTTCCAGACAGATAAAAACCAAGACAAGGATGATGAAAGTGATGCAAAGGAAGAACAAATTTATAATCCTAGAAAATGGCTGAAAAGACAGTCTGAGGTATATGCTAAATACTTCATTTCAGCATCACTTATTGAGGAGAGCAACAATGGCCCTGAAACCGAGCTGATCAGATGCATGAGCATTTACAAGAATGGTGGAGGAAATGTCACCAATATCCTGTCGTTCTTAACAGATAAGAAAGAGAAGAGGTCAGCTGAAAAGCTAGAAAGGATTCTCAGTTTCTATCCAGACAACCCACTGAGGGACAAGCTGGAGGACAATGACCTGATCAATTATATTTTGTGCCACATCACCTTAGCCTGCTTAGCACCAGGATCAGCCAAACTTCTTCCACTGCAAACTCTTCGTGAGCTCAGTACAAGATTCTTCAAAGCAAAAAGACCATTTCCAGCAAGTGCCTATTTTTTGCTCACCTTGCTGTACTGGCCAGATGAGGCATTGGACAAAGATCATAATCCAGATAAAGATGAAATTCTAACTTTAGCCCTTCAAACCCTGAAACGTTTATGTGACATCAAGAGGAAAGATGTTCCTACCAGGAAGAGAAGAATCTACACCCATTTTTTTCTGGGAAAGGGTTATGGCTTAAGTAAGATTGTGCAGAAGGCTAAAATTGATAAATTAATTACAGGGCCCTTAGATGAGAGGAGAATGAAGTGGCTACATGGAAGTGTATGGAATATTCCCAGGATTCGTGACAGTCTCAAAAGAGTTTCTGGCTGGACAGAGGACAGGAATTTGTTTATATATGGTCACAAAAAGAAGCTCCCCATCTTGGCACTCCATCATGAATCAGTGCCCCTTGGAAATGAAAATGTCACCTTTTATTTAGGCTTTTCATTTAATGGGCTTGTTGCTTTCAATATTGAGGTTGAAAACGATGCAGCCTGCAGCAGAACCTAAGGGGTGTAGCACTGCAACAACAGGCCCTGTGCTCTGAGAACATACAGCACTGCAAGTGTCTGCTGACACATCTGAAACAAAAACGGGACTGCCCTGGCTGAGCACCAGGGAGCAAGAAAACCACAATTAACTCCTTGAAACCTACTAGGAAAGTGTACCTTGAGACAAGCTTTTGATAGTTCTGGAGTCACAGAAAGCAAGATTTCAACCTCAAGACAGCAATAATTGCTGCCAAAGACTCACTATTTCTCTTCCCCCCAATATCTGGAGAACTGAGCTCTGGAATAAAACAGGTCTAGTGGGATCCCTTTTTTCTCGGCTCACATATTAGGATTTTAAGTTAATTTCTGGGTGGTCTTGATCAGTAACAGAATTTGTCCAGTGTAACATTTTTCTTCCTGAATCAGCAGCAGAGAAGTGAACTCACACCATGCCCAGTGCTCTGGCTGTAACACACTCCACTCACTGACACACGCCATGGATGAAATGAGCCACCCATCCACTGCAAAGCCAACACCCAGCAGAGAAGCATTTTTAAAGCAGACTTTGCAAACATCAGATATGATTAAAAAAACAGGCCTCAAATTTTATCTAACTCCACTGCTTCTCTGGGTAAATATTACCTTATTAGATTATATCTGTACCTGGGGCGGGGTGCAGACACAGGAGCAGTTAAGACGTGGATGACATAAAAGATTATTTGTAAGCACTGTTATGAGTCCATAGTCTAAACAATTCCTGCACTTGGTGAAGTGTTTTTGCATTATCATCCAAGAAATGTATACAGAGTACAAGTCCTAAATTTATACCCATTCTTTGAGAAATGCAAGGGAGTTTGTTTTTTAGCACTGTTTACAACGATCATGTCACATTCAGTTTCTAATAATAAAGCTGTCTGATATGGGTGGAGTTTTGTATTGTTTGACAGAAGATATTGTGACTGAAATTGCCAGAAAATCTGTCATATAACTTTTTTATCTAATAAACATCCTTTATGAAGAATTACCATATCTACATGAGCTTTATTACCCTACCTGAAGATGTAGTTCTAACAGTAGCAAGGTATGATTTGCTTTTCCAACTTCAGACAAGATCTGGGCTCAGTCAGAAACTGTAAAAGGAATTGCAAGCCACTGTGAATTCAGAAGAAACAGGATGAAACCAAAGATTATTATCTAGTCCAAGCCTTCACCTTCTGGCCTCAGGGAGCAGAAACAATTGGCAGGAGCAAGAGAGCTGGAGGGCCAGAGAAAGCCCCCTCTGCCCCCCAGCCCTGATGCAGGAGACGGGGTATGTTTGAAAATTTAGTTAGGCCAAGGAAACTTTCCTAGTCTAGAATGGGGCATAAGGATGGCTTCAACCCAGAGCAGAAACAGGACATGCAAACTTACTGAAAAGCTGCTCAACAGATACACAACCTGCTCGAATGCTGTAGCAGAAGCACAGGTTTTATTTACAAAAAGAAACTGTTACTATGATGAAAAATTAACACCAGCTTGTGTCTTGTACCTTGTTTCCTGCCTGCACACACCCAACTCTACTCTGCAGGTAACAAAGCTTTGCTCTGTAGCCCCGCCACTGCACATGCTCAAGTCTCTCCTTACAGAAGTCTTTTCAAATATACCCATTTTTACCTCGAAGAAACTGAAAGCTTGGATGCAAACTCTTTACCTCACCCCCCACAGCCCACAATAAAAACAAGATGTAAAGTCTAAACTTACAGATGAACTCTTGGGGTCCCACGTTGCACACACGAACTGCAGAGGCTCCCAAGGCAGCAGGCACAGACCCCTCCTTTCCAGTCACATTCTCACTGGGAGGGCTTTAACCAGCCACACACCACCCTCCTTGCTCTAGCCAGCTTTTAGGACAAAGCAGTTCCCATCTTCCAAATGTCCCCTCAGATTTCCCTGGAGCCAAAAGGGCCAGAGGACAAAAAGAGCTTGTGCAGAGCAGCATCTTCCCTGAAGGCTCCTCTAACTCAGTGCTCATCACACATCCCCCGTTCAAAATGCCATCAATTGTTGCAGGCAGCGTTAAAATATGGATTGATCTTCCTTTTAACACTCTCTTAGAAATTAATCTGTGAGTAGAGCGGTAGCTAAATGAGCCCAAACCAGCCCAGCACAGCAATCCATTCTCATCCTGTACATGAGATACAAGGACACATACATTCCAAGCTACCTCATCTCTCCAGGGTTTTGCTAGGAAAGGGTTTAGAACAGAGCATCTCACAGCACACCCGCTCCACCAGCTGTTATGAAAAAAACGCTGTTGCAAACTTTTCCTCCACATTCTCCCAACTCTTCCAACTTCAGTAGTCAAATTCCTTGTAAAGTCTGCTCAGCAAGACAGCAAATCAACAGCAAAAGGAAGTTACAGTTAAGAAGTCAGGATTCTCTTGCTTGTCTCCATTTTGTTTTAAGATAACACTCACCTAAGTGAGTCTTTGCAGCTTACACACATTTAAAAAGCTGGTACCAGGTTATTCACACGATAACATTTTTTGCAATAACAACTTACATAGGTTTGCAAGAGAAAAAATACCACACAGAAACAGTGGTTCACTTCTTTTAATCAGACACTGTTACAAAGTGGTTACACATTACAGATATGTGCAATGATCCATTGCTGAAGCACACAGTTCATAGAAGGTTCCCAGTGGATGCAAATGTTTGCTCCATGTTTTCTTTGAATCTTCTTTGTAAACTGAATGCTATAAAATTAAGCTAGTTACATTACTATTTGCATGCATTAAAGTGATGCACATACTTACCAGTCTCTCACTTTGTCCAATTAAATTCAACATCAGTATTTTGCCACCACCTGTCTTTTGAAAAAGATCAGTAATCCCAGCCCTTTCATACCACTTACACAAAAGCAGTACCAAGTGACAGAAAAAACCTTCACAACACATTCATTTCTGTGGCTGTACTGCTACTGAGAGGGGACACAACTCACTCACGTGCTCTATGAAGGTACTAAAACCAGCCTGGAGTTTGCTCAGTTTGGGTTCACTGCACAGTGTCCAGAAACCCTGAAGGAGCAATTGGGAGTCAGCAAGAAGTCTAAGGAAATAGTGGGAAATGCCAACCTCTTCCATATATACTGTACCAGAACTGGGGAAGAAGAGTGCTGAACCACTTGAGACTGGACATCCCAGAGATGATGTTCCACCAGAGGCCTAGCAGGACCTACCCTGGACAGATGCACTTGGTTTTGGTTAAGACAGCCTGGAACACACTGTACCCGTTAGTTATCCCCACGGACTGCCAGGCTGGGGTACCAGCAGTGCAGGTGGCACCCAACCACTGTGAAAACCAGGACTTCATGAGGTACCTGAGCAGCCAAGAGCCATCAGTTCCTCACCCCAGCTCAGTACTTAGCACTGAACTAGGGTCACCCACAGAGGTTACAAGAAACGTGGATACATCCTGTCACCAGAACGGCCTCACAGCAAGGGATCCCTACTGCTCACACACACCTGCCACCAAGGTGAAGCAAATACAGGTAAAGCTAAGTTAGAAATTTCACTATATAGGACTGCCCTATTTTTTTCCTGCTAGGGAGAAGCATATGTGCAACATTAGTTTTGCAGACAAAGCAGTTTAGTGGGAAGTACTGAGAACTGGTGTAAAGAAGATGCCAGAGATGGGCTGCAAGTATAACTCCTGTGAGCCTGGGAAGACACAATCCCCTTGAAAGTGTGTGTGGTGGTCTGAATTCTGCAGCACTGTGTAAGATTCCAGAATTCTAAAATAAACAGTACCACTGCAAGTGGCAAGACACTCATAAACTCACTCCAGCCCCTCCAGATAAGCTGCACAACTGAAGTGTCTGTTCAGCTCCCACTTTACTCTGACCCTCCCAGTACCTACTGTCTATGGAATTATCCACCTCCAATGTCAAAAGTCCCTCAGAGTGTGATAACATGGCCTTAAAAAGTGAATTAAAGCACAGATCTACAGCCCATCCAGCTGTGGATCTATGCTTGGTGCTACAGCACAGAAAAAGTTTTTATCTCCTGTGCTGATATGTAGAAATGAGATACATAAAGTCTAAATAAAAATAGATGGATGCAGCCATTCTGGAGAAAGGTGCATCTTCTATCCCATCACAAAGAACCTCTCCTGTTTTCTTTTAAGGTGTAAAATATTCTATAAAATAAAAATAAAATGCCAGAATATCTGAGAATATGGGATAGGGCAGAAGTAGAATAGAGGCACAGCAGTAACTCTGGAGTAAGATAAAACAGCTGGACAAAACCACATTTGTAGGTAGCCTCTGAAGTGCTGCAATGGACTAACAAAAATAATGATTAAAAAAAGCAGAAGAACAAGCTCCTGGCTCACAGGCCTAGCAAAGTAAAAATCTGTTGGTAGGAAATGGTAATTAGTAATAGCTAAAGAAAATCCAAGGATTACATTACTGCTATGGAGTTTACAAACAGAAATGCTTAATCCCCAACACAACAAACACAGGATCCTGTTGGTTTGCTGATAAAAAACAGCCTCATTGATAAAGGCATGTTACTGAAGTGATTTCAACTTTAGATCTTCACACTTTCCAGTAACATCAAAGGGTATTTGTTAAGGTTCTGTATTAAATTTTCCTTAAAGGTGCTTGCAGGTATTTATTACCTGCCCACAAGCACAGTTAAATCCATTACAGATCTTAAAAAAAATAATCTAGATGTTCACTCACTACTGAAATCAGTAGTAGATAACAATCACAGTTCAGAGACCAAAATTCCCCTCATGTATTTAAGTGGTATCATTTGAACAAATTAATTCAAATAGGAACATCAGGTACTTACAGATTAAACTAACCTGTACTGGCAGTGCTGTGGAATTTTTCTTCTCTACCAGTAAGTAGCAAATGCTGAAATTCTGCTGCTAGTTAACAGAAACACAAATTGTATTAAACCAAGGTGTTTAACCCATAATTTAGTTTTTTATTTAAAAAAAAAAAAGCTGCCAAACTTCAATTATTGCAATTTGTTGCTTAAGAAAAGCATATGAAGTAAAGGCGACTATAAAATTATTTTCAATTTGCCCTTACTCTTCTGATATTTTTTCATACATAACCCATAAATTTAACAAGGTCATCCTATTGCCTACCACAAACATAAAGGAAATTACAATACTTACATTGCCAGGTTCCTTCATTTAAGTCTCATAAAGTGTGTTTTCTTATTCTGGACTTTACAAATGAAAGAGCAAAATGTATTTTCTTCCACTCAGATTTACGAGAAAGAAGCTAAAGAATTCAGTGCAAGTAACTCAATGAAAAAAGAGAAAGAAAAAAAGCTCTGCATGATACCCTGAACTCAAAGCTTTATGTAATTTTTTAAGTTGGGAGACAGTGAAATAGCTTCCCCTGGTTGTGTTGCACTAATTTCTGATAATTCAAAATTACTGTCACCAAAAAACAGCTACTCATTGGCTACTAAGGGCAGCAGCAGCTGAAATTCTACACACCATCCCCAGCCACTTCTGAATAGCACCTGGGAACATGGTAAAGATTTAGACAAAATTCAAGGAAAAAAATTTGAGATATCAGAAGCTTGAATCCCTTCTAAGGCAGTTAGACCTTGTTTAGCTGCCAACAAGAGAATTTTTAAGGAAGCTTTCAAGCTCTCAAAGTTTGTACTTTCTCACTTTCAGTTAAGATGATACTGGCATTAAAATTCTGTTTTCTTAAAAAACCTTAAGTTCAAGATCGTATTTATGGAGAGGTTAAATTCCCTGCCACTAAAACAGCCGTGTTGCTGACTGTCCCCACTGCAAGCAAGCCCCTAAGAATGTCAGAGGTTCCTGAAAGCTTGTTCAGAAGGTGCCAGTGCCTCACTACTCACAGCAGGGACCAGGTATATAAATCCCAACCCTCCAGCTATTTGCACCAGGGTCAGTCAGAACTGCCTCCCAGGATGCCCAGAACAAATCCCAAGGATAACCCCCTGGATCCTGCAGTCAGGACAGGACATGGCTGAGGCTCCAGTGCCCAGTTCCCTCGGGGCACAAGACTAAAGTAAAACTGCATTTCCTCCAGCCCAGCCTTCCTGGGAATGTGGGCTCTGCCAACCAAGGCTCACAGTGTGCAAGGAAACACCACGTGTTCCTCAGGACCTCCAAAAGAATGTTATCACATTACACTGTAGAATCACCTGAATTCATCTTGATCCCTTCAAGAGCTGCCCCAAAACTTCCCTTACTCTGAACAACCTCCCCAGCCCAGCTACTGCAGACAATGTGGGAGTCACCAGCACTGCATTCCTACAGAACCCAGGCACTGTTTCACTGCTCTGAGTATTTTGATGGCAAGCACAGATTTTTTTTGGAGTCCCTCATGTGTGATGTGTACTTTATTTACCACATCTCCCATTCACTTCTCTTGTTTAAAACAGTGGGTGCAAATTTACCCAATTTAGCAGAGTATCAGTAACTCCTGCCCCTCGAGTAAAAGTCATGTACTTCTACTTAAGTTTAAAAACCCCCTGAACTCCGAGACCTACCTCTGTTAAAATCTATAAAAGTCACTAAAACATTGCCATAATTAGAATATTCACAAACAGTGAGATGTACAGCTTCGTGACACACAAGCTGCTGCAATACTGGAATGCAAGGAGGAACACACTTCATCCCTCAAAATAAAGACTACAAATTATTTTAACTATCCCCCTTAGATCCACACGAGGAGGCAGGGAGGGAAATATCACTAAGGAAACGTCACAAAAAGAGCAAGACATGAACCATTTACACCAGATGAGACTTTTAGGAGTCATTTCAAAGAGATGAGAGCCCAGCTGGTCTAACAGCTGAGGAGATACTCTCAGCAAAAAGCACTTTATGCCATCCTGGGGACTACAAGGACAGCAGCACTTGCACATGTCACTTAAGGACAAAACACAAATCAAAGGAAAGTCATTACTGCTGCCAATTTAAGGACAAACATCAGTCTGTGGTAACATCAGAATAACTCCAATGCCATCTGCCAATGCACCAGCTCCCAAAGAGGGAAGAAACAGGACCTGTCCCATCCAGTCCTTCAGTGACTTACAGAAAGGACAGGATTGCCCGAGGGAAGTGAAGGGGGTGAACTACCCACCAGAAACCACAAGCAGTGTTTGCAGTGGAGCAGGAAAATCCAGTCAGAAAACCTTTAATTCATACAGTAACGCCCCACAGAACTGTCTTAATGTCAAATGCATCATTCAAAAGCAGGTAGTGTGAAATTAAACTTCCTGGAATTGCTTAAAAGCACCTTTAAGGAAAAAAATCCCACAGCAACGTGGTGCT